GCAGAGAGAACTTCATTTCCTCCCTTTCAATGACCCACAATGGCCTTAAGACTCTTATTTTTACTAGTTGTGCTCATAATTATACAAGACAGAAGTGGAACTCACCTGAAAAACAAACAAGCAAAAAAAAAAAAAAAAAAAGATGAAGACTCACAAACCTTGAAACATCCAGACACATGGTTTACTTTACAAGTGCTCTGCTGTGAAGCACTAAGCATGTTAAGATGCTCAACAGGCAGACCAGACCACAGGGTAAGCTAAAATTTCTCCCTCTAAAATTTCTCCCATACATCTTGCCCGCACCTTTCAGTACTATCTTCAGCGTCATTCAAACAGGCCAAGTGGTGTATTGCAATATATCCATTTACATGCTATTTTTAATTTAACGTCTCCAAATGCTTTGTTAACTGAAAGCCTGCAGCATCCAAAAACTGTCACTGAATATTAGACCAATCTTGTTGTTGATAAATGGAAAGAAACAAAAGTCAAAGTGCTTTGCCAAAGGTCCCAGTGAATCCAAGGCAGAATTCCTTGCTTCAAATACTAGAAAAAAAACATACCTCCAAAGCATCCAAAAAATATCACAGTGCCCAGGACTGCGGAGAACACTTAATCCCTGATTATACTTTTACAATTGACATGGGGAAGATTTTCGCTTTGAAAATTATCTACCTGACCCTTCCTTGGGTAAACATAGAGGTGGTTGGTAACAATTCAGAATTATGCTTCTTCACAGTCTAGTGGATTTCTAGCCCAAGTTCTTCCCAGTGACTTAAGTAAAATTTATTTTATTTTGCTTCACTGTATTTATTACAGTATATACATATTTAGGACTCTACCCTGTTATTAAAAAGCCATCACTGTATCTCAGAAAACCTGAGGTCTAATATTTGTGTAGAAATCCAAATGCATTTAAAATTGTTCCATTAACCTCTGAACTGTTATTAGACTAACATGAGCCCAGAACTTCCTTTCTAAATATTTTTTTCCATGATAAAGGGAAATAAATTCAAGTTACATTCCATAAAAATCAACAATACAAGCTGGTTAAAGTGCTTCTCCGCTACAGTACTATCAGATACTATAAAATTACTTGATTTGCCTGTGTGGCAAAAGGAAAGTGGAAAGATGGGAGACAGACTATCTCAATTCAAAACCAGTAAAGCATTTAGGAGAATATCTGATTAATTTAAAATGCAGCACGGAGATTAAAACGCCATCTCAGCAGGCTGATATTAACTCTACATTGCTTCAAGAAACAGAGCCCCCTTTATTCTACCATCAATTGCTTGGGGACAAAATATCAACATGGGAAGAGTTATGGATCTTGATGTAGCAACAAAGGGAATTGATTTTCAGAGCAGCTCTCCCCACAGGGGGTAAAGGACAAAATAATGAATGGTTTTAGCTACTAACATGTCAGCTGCTGAGTAATGATTGTCACCAAGTGTAGCTACAGGATACTCCAAGGGGTTTGCCTTCCACCGGTCCTTTTAATTTAGATTGCTAGATGTAGATATTTCCAACCCGATTGCCGTGTACGATGCCCTTCCCCACCACCACCACAATCTGCTCCAGACCCTTCAGACGTTTGTTGAACGCTCATCGTCTTCCCTTTGGGCTGACCTGCCTGCAAGACACTCTCTTAAATCCCAACCTCTCCGGCTTTTGCAACCTAAAAGCCATATGATGGATCAGCCCTGACAGCAACTAATTCAAGACCAAATTCTGCCTCTTAAAGCTATTCTTGTTTAAGAGCCATAAAATCAGGATGCTAAATGGCTTGGTCATACCGTACTACGTTCGTGTACAACAGCGTTGTTTAGTTATTGCAATACATGCTCTATTTGGGCACAAATTTTATCCATACCAAACTGTTCATAGGAGACAATATTATACCATATGGTCTCTGTATTTCATAGACAAGCTTGCGTTAGTGTTTGTTTCAGTATCAGTTGGTTTCTTGCATCCTACTTGAAAATACAATGCAAATATAAAAAGGCAAATTACTGCAACAGAAAGTTACCATTCAGTGCTTAAAAATGTCAGTTGAAAATAAATTTAGCAGCACTCTTCTATGCAAACAAAACTGATGTAGATTTGCCTGGCTCCTTAGAGTTCACTGTAATTCTCCCCAGCCAAACTAAAACAGGATGAGATATTTCACTAAGATGTTCTATGAAAACCCTATTGAAAAAAAAAAAATAACCTGTCATGGGAAAAAGATGCTATTCTTTCCTGCCAGACTCCAAACCACATATAACATCACCTTCAATCTCTCCCCTCCTCTCTTACGTGCCCCCAGCATCACACCCACACACAAAGGATGCTGTTATAACACTCCCTATTACAAACCTTTTGGCTGCCCCTCATTTCCTGTAGATTAACAATCAGGCAGCTCAGATCGGCTGTTGCCCACTGCACCAAAGGCACCACAGTCAAATATTAAATGCCAAAGCACAAAGACTTCCAAGGCATTTCATTTCAGAACTACCTGAGGTGTGCCAGGTACTGGAGATGCCTCCATTTACCTTAAGAGACAGAAAACTGGCTTGATTATCTTTTTTCTTCACTATAATTAATTTGGAGTCAGGGGCCATATTGATATAAAAGGGAAATCCAGAGCCACAGATAACTGGATTTCATTTACTACTTTTCTCCCCTCTGGCATGCAGCTGGGTGAACACCAACACCAAATGAAGGTGGTGGAAGGAACATTGGCTGGTGATGGAGACAGACCAATTCTTTTGCACAGCCTCAGCCCAGCCTCAGACTTGCAGCCTTAAAACCTGAAGAAGCGTTGGTGGCCCTTTTTAAAGAAGCATCCAGCTCGGTTTCAGGGCTGTTAATGCAAAATGCTGAGTAGCAGAGAAAACTCCTTGGCAGCCATGAACAAGCAGCCCTTTATCAAACAGCAGGCGGGATCTGGAGAAGCAGTCCCATTAGGAAAGTTGCAACTGCCACAGTTCATTCTCCCAAACAATCAATATCAAATTGCACACACTTAAAAGCAGGAAGGCACTTGACACGCAGTTTAACAAGCAAGCTGACAGAGGCACGACAGCTTCTATCCAGCACACTTCCATGGCTTGTTTGTAAGGCTGATGGCCCCATCTTTCTTTTTCAGCTATTCCAGTCGTTCATGAATTATGCAGAGTTGATTTAATAGATCTCAGCCCGCCAGAAAAGAGTGCTGGAGCGATAGTCCATCTCCTGGCAAACACCATCAGCCTGATCCCTCTACAGATGTTTTATTTAGAGAATTGCAAATGTACACTGTCCTGTAAGAACGGTGCAGATATCATAGATGAGACTTGCACAACGAAGCAGAACAAGGCGAGTGTTACTGAGGATCAGGAGGAGATCAGAGTCATAATCATTGTAGAAAAGAATGGAGATGAACCATCTCGCTAAGGAGTGAATCAGTGCCTCCACAGAAGCCATGTTAATTGGTTCAAAATAACAGCAATCCTTGCTCTACAAGAGTTGACGGTCACGCTAAAAAGAAATTTTTGTTTTACTTTTTACTTGCACACAGGTCTGCAACAACAGCAATCTTTTCCTCTCAGCCCAGGGCAACATACAAAAGAGGTTTGGACTTGTGCAAGCCAACAGCTGTAGGTCTACTGAAACACCAAGCACTGTCTGCAGGACAGCCATGTTCTGCTCAAGTGCTGGAATTCTGCTGCCAGGAATTGGGACTACAGGATGTTAGCCTGACATCCCCAAAAGAAAAGCAAAGTGGCTTCTCCAGCTTCTCAGGGCAAGATGAAGAACCTAATCTTTAGGCAGAAACTGTAACATAGTACCCAGTTGCCAAAGAAGCTCTTTTTAAATGCCAGCATTATCACCAGGGCAGTCTCCATCACAAGGAATTTAGAAATATCAAAGATTTCCTCCCAAAGCATACTCTGACAGGCACATGATACATTCAGGATAGAAAATGTCCAAAGTACAGTGCTACAACTGAGCTTCTCTGAATTAAAAGGTAAGGGAAAAGGAGGACTTCTGACTGGCATTATAAGCACAATGGGGTTGTAGCAACACTGTACGAGTTCATTCTTAATTAATATCTGAATTGATGGGGTCCTCTGGACACTTAAGAAAGGAAAATCCACCAAAAAAACCCCAAACCTCACCTTATATAGGAGCAGAAGTCTTTACAGAGAACAAATCTGTAAAGGAATTGTGGACAAATCTGTAAAGGAATCTGTAGGAATGTGAACACAGCTCAGTACTGCAGAGAAGGAAACATTCATTGCGTGCACCAGGACAAGGGAAGAGAGGAAAGGGGAGCCTGCAGCATCAAATTGTGCTGCAGGCTTTACTGGACCCCTTAGAAACATCAGGCTTTAGTCACATGTTTTGAACTGATAATTGAAATTGTTCCTGATCCAGTTCAGATTGAACCAAAATTTCAAAACAGCAACGTGGACCGAGTTAATTAACTCTCACTTTCAGTATGGAAAAAAACAAAACAAGACAAAACAAAAACAAAACAAAAAAACAACCAAACAATAATGAAAACCAGTTACGACCTGACTGGTTTGATCTCATTTGCACATCCCTTTTACTTCAAAACTTAGAGAATGCAACACGAAAAATCAGCAAGACATAATGTTAGTTTCCCAAGATCGTTTCTACAGTAAGACATTATTCTGAAGAACCTAAAATGAACAAACTCCTCTTGTTACTTAAGAAGATAAATGAGTATCACGCTCATTAGCAGCTCAACAAGTATGTACACAATAAGATCAGCAGTCTCTTAGATTATGAGCAAACATGATACAGGCTGTAGGTAAAGTAAATCAGCCAGCAACAGCACTGAGCTACTGATCATACAGACCCTAGAAAATAGTATTCGTACTCAGCAGCTTACAGTCTGGATAGTCTCGCCTTTTCCCAGTGGACATTTATTTCTTACTAGACAGCTGCACACACTATAAAAGAAATCTTAAAATCAACCTGCCCAAGAAATACAATCATAACTTCAAACAAACCTTTTTTAGAATGGGGTTTTGGATGTTCTGTTGCTGCTGGCAATGAAGAAACCTGAAAAGACAGAAAAGAGGAGTATTAAATACACTAGGGAAGATTTCTTGAAGATCTATTCCAGAAAATAATCAGAAAGGACAACTGGCAAATCCCAAGAGGGCATAAAAATAGCATTGTGGCTGCTAGACAAACGCTGCCCTGCCAGGTACTGCTCTTCCCTGGTCGTAGCTAAGTAGAGATTTCTGTTCACTGTGTAGATCAAATAAGCCCACTGATTTTACAGTACGTTCCTGTTCTGTAGGCTCAATGATATTTATTAGGATTCTAGAAAGTGATCATCACCTTCTAGTAAAACAAAACTCTAGCATTTAAGATGCTAATTAGAGATCACATAGGAAAATGTGAAAAGTGTTTATTGTAAAACATTTATAAAGTTAGTTAGAACAAAGCCGCTCCTGGGGAACCATCAGAGTCCGCGGCCGCGTGGGCACAGGGAGTCCCATCGCATGGTGGGCAACAAACATCAGCCTGCAAATACTGCCCAGAGCTCACCGACAAGCAGGTACCCAGTCTGTGGAAAATAAATGTGTTTTATACTTCTTTCTTACTTTGCATCAAAAATCAAGCCCTCACAGAAGAGAAACACGATTACACAGGGAAGCATTTTTACTTCTGACATCTGGTTTCTCAAGGAAAAGGCATTCCTCACTCCTCTTCCCCAGAGGCAACACAGGATTTTATAGATCTCCCTCACCTCCCCTCTCCTTAATAAATGATTTTTTTAAAGTGGTAATTGAGTCTGCCCTTGTTCCTTCTAATGTTTTGGGAACATTTTCTAGTTCTACTCTCTTCTTTTACTGGAGATGGGGAGGATCAGAGATCCTAAGTACAGTATCAGAGACATGGAAAACAACCCAGATGTACACAGGAAAGGCTCTTACCAGCTTTGTTTCTTAATAACTTCTACCATTTTATTCAATTTTCTGATTCCTCTTGTGAAAAGCTGAGTTGGTATTTTCACAGAATTACCCAACTCCAAGCAAGCACTCATTCCTAAGCAGCAGTAACCAGCACAAAGCCCTCTGGGTTTTTTTTATGTATCTGTAGTTTTTTTAAAAATCTGTACGCGTCATTCTAAGTCCTGTCAGCACTGTTAAGACTTTCCTGTGGTTTCTCATATTTCCTCCTCAGCCGAATAATTTTCTAGCCACCCTTTTGTCCAGATCATTTCTAGGTACACTGAACAACACAGGCCTCGAACAGATCCCTGCAGGGCTTCATTAACGACCACCCTTTACCACAACAAAACAAAACAAAAGAGCATTTATTCCTTCTTTCCGCTCCTCACCTTTTAACCAGATAATTATCTATGAGAGGATTTTTATTTTTTTTTTGCCTTATTCCAAGACCTTTTATTTCCCTTAAGAGCACTTGACACTAAGACACCAGGTTGCACGACACAACCTGCTCGAGGGCAATTTTGCAGGAGAACAAAATACGAGGGGGAAAAGCCACCTGTGCTGGACGTTGCAAAAGGCTCCGTTTACACTAGGTCACCCCAAGAAAAAGCAGAAAAAGGCTGAGCTGCCGTTACGTGTTCACTATCGACCGTGCGAAGAGTCAAAACTCTGTTGAAAGCACCTCCCGCCGCCGCCGCCGCCCCGGCCCCCCCCTCAGCCTCCCCTCGCCGCCCCCAGCCCCGGCGCACCCCCCAGGCCTGGGGGGGCCCGGGCGGGCAGTGCCGGCCCCTCACCGCTGCGGCCTGCGGCTCCGCCATCGCTCCCGCGGCGGGAAGCGGCGCCCCGTTGCTACGGTAACGGGCCGACCCGAAAGCACTTCCGGGACAGGGCGCGCCGCAGCGCCCGCCGGGAAGGCGGCTGGGCCCGCGGGAGGACTCGGGGCACCGCCGCGGCCCGCGCGTGAAAAACACCAACGTAACTAAGGGAATAATAAAACACAGTTTTATTACGAAGGGTGTATTCGGTTCCCCCGCGGTATGAGATGGAACGAGGCCGCGAATGAGGCCTCGACCCTGGCTCCCTCTTCACTGAGGCAGGGCTCCCCCCCCCAACCTCCTTATACAGCGACAAGGTGGAGGGAGGTGGTTGTGTTGTTTTTGTTATTTTTTTCTTCTTTATATCTTCCAGAGGCTGCTGCAGAGCAGCCTGCCGCAGGGGTGGCGGCGTTACAGACAGGCAATTCCCGTGGGAGTGCTTGAAAGCAGGAGAGGCACAGCAGCGGGTCGCTCCCACACAACAGGGTCTTAATAATCATTATCTTAAGGCATGCCAGCAGGCATCAAGCTCAAAAAACTGGGTTGCGTTTGGGTTCGAGCCTCCCTAGATCTGCTGTATATTCAGTTTGGGGAAGGTGGAGTAAAAAACCCAACGGCTGGAAGAGTCCACACGCCCAGCCCTCGGCTTTCGAAAGAATTTTAACGCTCAGAGAGGTAGTTTCTTCGAGCCGGAGGGATGGCCAAGTAGCCAGCCTGGATGCAGAGGTGCCGCCATGCAGCCCTGCTCCATCCCACCCCTCACGGGCAGGAAAAACGGAGGGAGAGCAGGTGCCGTGCAGCTACTGTCCTGTGATTCCGCGGGGGCAGATAAGGCAGGGCGGGGAGAGCTGAAGGGGAAAGCGAGCACCGAGGGACAAAACTCCATCGCTACAAGTGTGAGGGAGCTGAAGTGACTCCGGTGCCCGATGCGAAGAGCATTTCGTGTTACAGACCTGCCTAGGATCTGCCTTTAAGTGACCCCTCTGCAACTTTATTCCCCCTTGAAGCTGGCAGATTGGCAGAAAGCTTTGAGGACACTAGCTTGGTGAAAAATACCACAGAAGGAGTTCCTATACAGGAGTAAATTTAATAAAACCACCACCAATTGTTTACTTTAACATAGCTCTTGTTACAGAAATCATAAAAATGGACTCAGTAGCTAACTCATTAGTTCTTTCCCCTTTTAATTGAAAAATACCCCACTGATTTCAACTTCTACTGCACTAGATGGAGTGTTAAATATTTGCCAGGACAGGATGCCCAGTAATTGAGCCCAAAACAAACACAAAGACAATTCCATCATCTTTCCTTTTCAATGTTACGACTCGTTATAATGTAAGTGAAACTTAAAACAGCAAGGAACGGTCCATTTGACAGATGAAAGGGGGAGGGAGAGGAGATCCACAGCCGAAATCTTTCCATAAGTCGTTTGAGAAGTGGTGCAAAATACCCCTCCTTTTCCTGCCTCAGAATGAAAAATAAAACTCTAAATACACACACACCTCCTCCGGGTTCAGAGCGCGTGTGCTGCGTGCATGGATGGGGAACAGCAGAGTTGGATTTGGGCAGGTATCAATCAGGGGCCATAACAAAAAAAACAACCAACCAAACAAAAAAAAGGCAAAGCATCCTGAATCGGTGTGCATTGGTCGCCAACGCGATCGATGCACACGGGGTTACGGAGCGTCAGGAGCTGCGCACGAGGGGACAGGGCCGTCGCCAGCAATGGATACACACACACAAACCCTGGAGGCCGTGGATGTAAAGGAACTGCAGGAAGAGGATAAACCCAACTTCTCTGGTCAAAGCCTTCCAAAATAAAAAAAAAAAGTGTTCACTACACCAGCACACGCTTCCCCCACCCCAGCCCAGGGAAAACAAAACAAAACAAAAAAAAAAAAATCAAACTGAAAGAAAATGCACAGCAAATAGACATAATCTTGAAGATTTTTAAAGAATAAATATTTTTTTGTAATTAAACATTATGCAAACACGTGCCACGCTTGCTCTTTGTCCATGCATATGCGCTATATACAACTTTGAAAAATACTGTGTTGTCCTCTTTTGTTTTAAAAGTCATATACAAAGTTTTTTTTTTTTTTCTCCTTGCTGTGTACCCCCCCCCTCCTCCCCTCCCCAAGAATCATCTTTACAATGAGCCAATCAACATTCATCCCTGTACTTGGGTGTCAGAGAGGAGGAGGGGGGCGGGAGAGCCATCCCCCCTTACCAAAGTACATCAAAATGGCTGGTTTGGACATGAAAAGCAGTGTCAAGAAACTGGTTTAAATTTCATCCGTACTACACACAGGAAAAGAAAGATAGAAAAGAAAAAGGAGTCGGCTTGGAGAATGAAGCTACGTTACAAGTTAAAGTTGGAGGTTTTTTTTTTTTTTTTTTTTTAGTGCGTCTGTCACACTCTTATTGGCCGCCTAGAATACTGTTGTACAATGGTTTATCTACCTTTGTTTTTTTTTATTACAATATAATTTACTTAAATTTTTCTGTTAACAAAACAGAATCCCGGTACTACAGACCAGCGGTGTAACAGGCGTAGCGCCTTGTGTGTGTTTGATTTGAATCGCATGAGCACTCTAGATGGTAAAGGTTTCAGAGTTCGTTTTATGCGGGGCCAGTCTCAGTCCTCAATGTACTCCCACAGGTCCTTCTCGTAGCCTTCATGCACGTGCTGCAACAAAACCCTTCGTCGACTCTCGCAGTATCTGCAGCAAAGAGGAACGGGACAGAAAAGGCAGGTTAGGAACCGCGGCTCAGCCCCAGCATCAAGTCAAATAAACCTACATTGAGCCTCGCTTCCGAAAGAGGAGATCTCCCGAGAAGGGACTTTGTAGCCCATTAACAGCTCTAATTAAGACTTCAGTTACTCCAGTCACTCAATTCCAGGTCCCTGGCTGAAAAAACAGCATGCAAATTTAGAGTTTCCCCGTGCACAAGTATCCCCAAAGCCCCTACAGCTGAGAAACCTCCATTAAGAACTGAAATAGGAAGAAGCAGCGGCTGCAGTTTGCAGAAGGCAGAGCACGAGTTAGCAGTGACACCCAAAATGGGACGGAGCTCTCCTCAGGCCAGGGCCGGTGCCTACTCAGAGCCGTTATCAGAACAACAAAACTCCGGGAGCTGGCTGGGCAAAGCCTCAGGAGCGCTGACCCGGTTTTAGTCCCCTCCGAAATCCCAGTGGAGATGGAAGTGGTCACGCTGGCTACAGAAAGGGTTACTGGTCTGGTTGGAGTGCAAGTTTTACCTCACTCCTGGGTCTCAGAGGGGCACTATGCCCTGCAGGGTCTTCCCACCTACACGCATTTAAACAGACGGAGCTGCAAATAAACCTGATCCCAGAGTTAGGTACAGTCCTACCAGGATCAATGATACTGAGGAAAAGTGATATCATAGGAACATATCAAAAGAGGCCATGTTCATTTCAGGTGCGTTACCCAACTAAAAAGATAAAAAAGCAGAGAAACATTTAAAGTATTCAGGTTCCAAGAGCAAATTATAAATAAAGCAGCAGGCATTTCTGGATTAAACCCCTTCCAGCGGCGGTGCCAAAGTCTGCCCCATCTTTAGGCGCACAGGGGACAAGAGAAGCCTTGGTAAGAGCTCCCGAGGCCCCAGGTGCAGCCGCGTAGCCGTGGTTCAGCAGCACCCAGCCTGGAGCGGGGTGCTGCACCGTGAGAAACGGGAACCCAGGAGCTGACTGCCGAGTTACCAACTCCTGCTGGGAACTGTGCGGTCCAGGTTCCAGGCGCTCGCATCGGCCAGGACAGCATCGAAGGGGCTCTCGCAGCTGGGAACCCGGCTTGCTCAGCAGTGGCCAAACATCCCCCTGCTCCCTAAAGCAAGGTGCACAGGAGGAGCGTCCCAGAGGGAGACCCTAGCAGAAAGCTATCCTTGATCACAACGCATGCCAACACCTAGGCAGAAATCCCTCACTTGAACCCGCAGCCCTTATGCCGTTACCATTCAGTGTCGGATCAGACCAACAGATTTATCTGAAAAAAACACTCTTCTGGCTCTTCTCACTGCTATCAGCTGTTGCAACAGAAATCATTGTACACAAAGTCCCATTGATTTCCTGAAGCATGTGATCGCAAACATGCACAGTTTCTGCTTTCCGAACTTCGGTTATTTTACTGCTGGTGGCGGGGGTTTAATCCTGTTTTCTAGAAATGTCTCTGCAAGTTAAGAGACTGAAACAGCTGAAACCAAATCAGGTCGGAGGTCAGCTCTTGCAATTTCCCAGAGCTCTTTAAACCCACCTCGGTAACATCCTTGGTCCCAGGCTTGCACCAGTACACTATAACCAGTACACAGAGCATCATAAAGGACTTAAGACATGACCGAACTAGTTAATTAGGGACCTGCATGGGCTTGACAGATGCATACTTTCTTCCCAGAAACACGAAGGCAGCTTTGGGATACTATGTTTTCAGGCAATTCAGGCTATATTAGGTTTTAATTTCTTCTGGAAAGCTGTTACCATCCCTAGAAGAGCACCCAATTGCAGAGGGCTTAAGTGAACAGGCAGCTTGGGCCAAGATACCAACTTAATGGTGGTCTTTAAAGGGTAAGTTACAAAATGTCTCAAAAGAGAAGGTCTGGCAAATCTTGTCCAGCCCCAGCCGCGCTGCCGGACTACGGCAGAATGGGCCACGGGCCCACCAGAGCTTAACAGCTACTTCTGCTCCCCAGAGTCCCACAGTCACTACGGCTCACCGTACTTTGGCTTTCCCCCCCTCCTCCCCAGCTAGGCATAATGAATTCAGTAACTCTGGCAAAATGCCTCAAAAATGCAAGCCATAATCCTGTGACTCATCCGCACTTACAGCTTTGGATTTTTCCACTGTGCAGAAGCAATTCCCCCAGGACTGTAACAAGCACTGGCATTTGTGTCACCTGGACCCCGGTTCTTCTGCTCTCCTCCCCAGTTGGGCAGGTTGCTCTCTCCCTCTTCTTGAAGGACAGCTTTTCTGCACCCACTTTTTGCACAAATAGGCCCAACAGATGACTAAAAGAGCTGACTGCTCTCTTACAGCAACTCATCCCAGGCCAAAGCTGCCAGCTTGCAACAACAAAGCCACTCCTTGTTCTTTGGCCCTCACTATGCAGGTCCCATCTTGGTCCTGGCTATTCCCACATCCTCCCTTCTCTGCAGGAACAATGAAATGCCGCTGCTTTTGGCCATAAGATTTTTTTCATTACGGGATTAAATCTTCTAGCTACTGCTCAGCAGAGCAGAGGGAAGGCAGAATTGGGAGCCTCTCCCTGCAGGCTGTCACCTCCCCTGAGGGCTGGTCCCAGCAGGGACCCAAACCCATGCTGCCAGGGCATGATGCGTGAGGGCATCACTGCTGATGCTTGCAGGGGCTGGCGCAGGACATCGCTGCTACTGCTGTTCTCAGATGCCCAGGGACTGGCTGACGATCACACTGGGTGGCAGAAGGCCAACAGCAAACAGCTTCCCATGGCTGGAGAAACCCACGGCTGGACAGGTACACACGCCACTACCTGTCACACAGGATGGCGATACAGGTACTCGGGGCACCTTTGAAATGGAGGATTCTTTAAAAACAAACCTGTACTTATCCTGTACTTTCTGCTTTATGTCTTGCAGCGAATCTTGGGATATATCTCGCTCAAGGTACCCAGAAAGCACCTCTGTAGCATTCTCTAAGTCTGCTTGGTTATTCTGCAAAGACAAAGAAAGAAAGGAAAAAAAAAAAAAAAAGGAAAAAGAAAAGATAAAGGAATATTTTGGGGGGGAAGTAAGATTTTTTTTTTTTTCCTTCAAAGCAACTGAAATCAATACTGAAATAAAAAGCGGGATTAGATATGCACTGTGTAACACTCTAGCAACCTGCTCTGAGCATTGAGACTGAAAAAGCTGAAATCTCTTCATTTGATCAGAAGAGAATCTGCGTATCTACCAGCAAGTCTTACATCTTCCTTCATCTGCAATAGCCTGGCAAGCCTAAAAAAAAAAAAACTCTTTCCTTACTAGTGGTGTGGTGCAGTACAAGACAATTCATCTCCCATTCTGTCCCCTGTCTATTTACCAGCACTGGCAAAGCCTTTGCTGACTTTGCTGAGCATGCAGCAGAGAAGCACCCTGATTGGGTTCTGAACAAAGACCAGCAAATGACTGTTCTAAACCATAAACAGTCAATACTGTAACCCTCCACATTTAGACCTTCACGTGCAATTTTAACAGTAGTGCCCTTGGAGAAAAGCCAACACCACGCAAAGTCAAAATGCCAGACTGAAGCTTTAATGCCTTCTTTGCCAGTTCAAGACAGAACCTCACCCTCCCTTTCTCGTTGCAGAGGGCAGCACCTTGTAACTCCACTTTCTCTTCCAGCAGACAATGCCACACGGTGCCCAGCAGGGCCTCTAACTTTTGCACAACAGAATATTAAGACAGACTCACGTAGTAAAACTAGGGACAAGAGCTTCTCCAAGCATTAAATCTCTATTTCTCTTAGCTTTGTATGCTGAACTCCTGACAACCATGTTTTCTCCTACCTCAAAGATAATGGACTGATTATTCTTTTTGAGGTAGAAGGCAAAGACGTAAGTGTACATGAGTGTGGCACGACACTGGCAGAGGACGTCAACTGCTTTCTTCAGGAACTGCACCTCGATCCACGACATGTTGTGCTGCTGCATCTCCTCCATTTTCTGCTTCACCTGAGCATAGAGCTTGTGCTCAAAGCGCAGGCTCTGCATGTGGTTCATATAGCGGTTGCAGTAGAACAGGTACCTCTGCAGGGCTGCTCTGGATCGCTGTGTTAATTCCCATTAGGGAAAAAAGAAAACAAATAGTTAAAACAAAGTAACGGCTGCAGGAGAAGTAAACCCTTCAGGAGGCTCTTCCTGACCCTGACAACAAGCTTCCTTTCCCAAGGTGTTTCCTCTCCTCTCATGTTGGCCAGACTTAGATGGCGCGGTTGTGTGGCAGGGTTAGCCCTGACCTTGTATGGAGACGAGGGGCCAGACCCACGGGCAGCTCACTGTCATGCAGGGGACTTCCTAGCACAGCTGGGACATCCTCACTCCCAACCTTGAAAGTAATCAGAATGACACTGCTAAAGCCTGATCGGTTTTGAATTTCAGCCTCCCCCAAGTTCCAGGACTTAAATGCTTCCAGTGTCATGACAAACAGCGAGAAGCAGCTTTTCTTTTTTTGGCTAATAAGGAATTCTAATTAAACAATTACTGTGCTCGTGTTAAGAGGGCAACATTAGGTTGCCTAGGCCACACTGATTATAGAGTGGGAAAAGACGCCATGCGCTAAGTAGCACAAGAGAACCAAGATGACTCAATACACAGCCATTAACCTTATTTTCTTCTCACTGACAGATCAGCTGTAAAAAAATGACAACGTGGGCATGGTTAAACTTGTATGTTGTGGATGTACAAAAGGTAGCACATATCAGCCAACGTCATCCCTACCTGCAGGAGGAGGGGCTGCAGGAAATACTTTGGTTCTTGGCTATAACAGTACCTTAACAGAGGTGCAGGAAAGGGATTTCTGCAAGCTGCAGCACACAGCATGCAATCCTGCCTCATTAAAAAGAGTTTAGGCTCTATCCACATTCACAAAACAGTTTAATGTAGCTGCAACTTCACCTGCAACTTTATTATGTCAAGCCTCCAAATAGAGCTATTGGAATGACAGCAGCCTATTTTCTTCACATTCAAAAGGTCTGCTGTGTTTAAATACCTCAGGACTCGCATTAAGAATTTTGCAGTAAAGAGCATTTTACAAAGGACATGAGGCTTGCTGTCTCAGACCCACGGCGTTATGATGACTTCATGTGAAGAGCTGCTATAAAACAGGCAAGGCAGCATGACAGATAACAACTGAGTTAACATGTCCTTCAAACTGGGTTAAAGTGGCTTTGAACGTCTTTTTTTTTTTTTTTTCTGGCACGAAGCAAGAGTCCAAAGCTGCGGGGGAACTTAACTGTCTTTTGAATTCATGCCCAAATCCAAAAAAAAAATTCTTCAGAGCTGATTGATAGGTTTACAGAAAGCACACCACAGGGTTGCTGATCTCCCTTACCGCCAAAGGTTATGGACTCACCTCCTGTGCATCCCTTGCTGCCTTTGCATCATCCTCATTGTAGCGGTTACAGTTGTACCTGTAAGAGAGACACCGATTCCACAGATTTCAGCCCAAATCAATGCCGTTTGCACCACGGCTTACTCGCCTCCCAGCAAGGCACGCTCCTCAACTCACCAGGCAGATCCGTGGGGCTCCCAGGGGCCCAGGCACACCCAGCAGAACTCGGCTTTGCAGTTCTGGTTCCGACAGACCATGTGGTTGCAGCCCCCGTCCTTCTCGATGGTGACGTGGCATTTTGGGCATTCCTGTTCACCGGACAGAGAATGCTGTTAGCAGGGAAAGCACAGAGCCCACAGCAGTCCTGACAAGTTAGAATCGTTCCCGTGGCAGTAAGAGACAGCACATCAAGTGAAATGCACAGTTTACTGCTTCCCTTTGATCACAGAGATCCCCTTCCAAGCCAGGCCTGAAAATATTTCCAAAGCCAGAGCAGCTAGATAGCAATAAACCCTAAGGAATTACGTGTTTTATCTATGCTGCTATCATAGTGGTACACTGGATGGGTAATTTCATGATCCTTCTTCAAAATCACAGCAGCACTGATGGTCTGTAACATCCCAGGGGAAGATATCTGGCTTTCCTCACCATCAAGTGTTTGGTCCACTTCAGCACTCAAACTGAAAAATGCCTAACAGAGAGCCGATATCATGCTGTTATCAATCTAAGACACCTGCAGTTCTAAAATGCCATCCCCAAAAATATCTGACAACATGAAGCAAGAATCTAGCGTGCTTCAAAGAAGCTTCTGTCAGCTAAGACGACCCTTCTCTCCTAGGGCATTTCCACACTTCCCATCAGGTCCCTTTTTTTCCCCCCTTAATGCGACACCTCACTGAAGACTTTTCTACAAAAGCCCACGTGGGGCTTTTCCCTTTCAGGTGTGAGGTCTTTCACAAATATGAGATTATCAAAGAGCAGCACTGCACCAGGAAATCTCTGGGGAATAGGTTGGGTTTTTATAACACCAATATCATATATCAGCAGCATATGGTCACTTCCTAAAATGATATTCAACTCACGTAAAGCATAAAAGATTATTCCTGTACTATCCCAATGAGTACACAAAGCCAAGGTTGCAAGAATATACTAAGCTGCCTCTACAAGTGAAAGAAGCCTGTTCAGCTCTTCTGCCACTTGTTCCTGTCCCTGTGGCAAATCTCCTGTGCCAGGACACAACACAGCTGCGCAAGAGCTGGGCCAATGAACACATCAGGTTAAAATCAAGCAAGTACAGAGGAAAAAAAATAAAACCAAAAACATTTTAGCCTGGCTCAGTTCCTCAGTCCAGCTTATCACACAACCACACCAGCATTTATGAAGTCTCTGAAGAAGCCAGTTTTATCTGCAAGGCAATAGCAAACACATCCAAACAAGTAATCCACACTCACGTATGTAAAAGCAGCTGCAGCTTTTGGGTCAGAAGAATATAAAATCCCCTCCCCAGTTAGGAACACATCTTTACCAGTTATTAACCAGAGCAACCCTTTGCTGTTCCAGCATTCAGATAAACTCTCAATAAAGGAAGAAACTATTATGTTCAATCGGTCTACAACTGCTACTTTTATATAGGACACAAACCAACACCTTCTTGTACATTCACTCCAAGCGTCCCAAATATTACTACATTTTCATACGAGTTTGCCTATTTGTATTGTAAGAGACAGGAAAATTTGCACACCAGGTAGTACTCAGAAGATTGCTCCAGAGGTGTTAACGACCAACGTGGTCTCCCGATGTCAGACACAGTGCTTCCTGCTGCAGGGAGGGAGGTTTGCAGTAAGGCAAAGCAGGTTACAAGGGAAGAGAGACAAGGGAGGAGATGTGAGGGACCACAACTTCTTTTTGGCCAACATTATTAAACTGCTTTCAGCTAGTTTCGCTTCCTGATGATTGCAACTTTGCAGACCTGAACACTAATGAAAAATAAGACTCATTACAGCAGCTTGCCCTGACTTTGAGGCTATCCTTGCTTTGAGCCGAGGGGGCTGAACAACATTACGTTCCCTTCCAACATAAATAATTTAATGATTCTGCTCTCCCCAGCAATTGGCAGAGCACTCCGCTTGAGTGCTGCCATCATTTCTTCCTCTTCAAAGTGCTGCTTTGGTCCTACTGCCCGATCCTGAAGGGGAAGGGTTAAGGACTGGGCAGAAATGGGCAACATCCCACACAACCAGCAAGGTTTTCCTGAGCATTCCTTTGAAAGGAGATGCTATTACAGCACTTGTTTGGAGAGCACGCCCTCCCGTTCAGCCAAGAAGGGGCAGCATTTCCACCCCATCAACAGGTCACAACCGGGGCTTGCCCTGAGTGAGAGGACAAAGTTCAGTTTCTAACCAGAAGGCCAAGTTTGTCGTGTAAATAAAAAGACTCCCCAGATTTGGGGAACTACTTACTCCAGTAGTTTGATGAATGTTTCTTTCTGCAGTCGCACTGTTCCTCCCATGTTTGTGCCCTGTCAGTACGCTGCGTGCTAGCTCACCGCTTATTTGGCTTGGTTCAGGTTTTTTGGGGCTGGCTGTTACTCTGATGGATTCAAGCAGTAAGCAAGCACGCACATAAAGGTATTTTTCCAGATCTGCTTTCCTCCCCATCACCTGTGTTTGTACTATGCAAACAGAGTAAGTGAAGCATGGTTGCTCCCTTCCTGCCTGTCTTGGGGGGACATCAGTGAGTCCTCTTGGGCTGTCCACAGAATGGATACTCAGCCAGGTAAATGCGTTCCCAATTAGTCACTCAATGCAGTTCTGTGAACTTCAGAGTCACAAACAGTCTCTCCCTTGAGCACAATACCCAGTGCAGTATCTATTTTCATTTCCCAGGCAGCCTTCCTCCCTCTTTCAACCCTTCACCGACACCTCAGGACCCAAATTTAGGTTTCTCTCATCAATATCCTCCACAACCGTGACGATCCCTGCTCAACGTGCTCATCAGCCTGGGCACACTTTGCTGGTATGTACGAACAGTGGCGCTGCACCCCTGTCACATCACAACACAGCTCCCCTCTCCCTGAAATGCTGACCCTGGGGCACACGGCAAGGAGCAGAATTTTCAGGAGAAGATGGTGGTCGCGGAGCTGCGTAGTTTCTTCCAAACACACCTCATCTGATGGGATGCTGACACCCGCGTGCCGCGGTGGAAGACGCAGCTAATCCAACAAACAGCAGCAGCGATCACTCCTGCTTACGAAAATCCCACAACTGGAAGAAGACAGACACAGTTCCCAGCTGACCTACGAAGCTGGAGAGGTGCAGTGGGGCACGTCCACGCCACAAGGATGTGGGGCCATCCTCACCCACAGCCAGGCTCGATTAGGAGCACAGAAATTCTGCTCTCCTGTCTTTGAGGATGAAACCAGGCTCTTCAGTCTCAGTACTGCATGGTGCTTAGGGCTTCCAGCCCTGGGATGCAAACTAGAACAAAAAAACCCTAATTACAGCCCTTTTATTACAGGGAATGCCATCCTTTTCAAGCCTTTATATGCTTGTCAAGCAAAGCACAGGGGAGACAGATTACACAGTAAGCTATGCAGATCCATGAAGTTGTGCAAAAATGTAGATGTTGAATATTATTAAAAATTAAGGAAAAGCCACGATAAGAACATACTAAAGAAATGCTGAACACCAGTGAAGAGACAAAAGCAGCAACTACTCAAGCCACCAACGCAATGAGTGGGAGAGATTTATAGATTAAGGAGGATAGGAAGGGAAGATCTTATTGAGAATTACGGCTACGCAACAACATAATAGCCAGCAAATCAAATTACTAAACCGGTAGATTATTCTGCACGTTATCTGTCATGCTGCGATGCAGAAGTGACCTCATTAACATTGTTCCACTCTAAACAATTCCGTGTTGTGCTTACACGCTGCACTTTGAAACAAAAGCCCGGGCAAACCTGGCAAAGGAGAACAATCCCTGTTTTGTCATAAAAGGCTGCGTGTACATAAAACATGATAAACCTCAGCTGCTGTTTTATGAACAGGAGGCTAAATAGAAACATATTTCACACTTCAGGCAGGTGAAACAGATTAGTCCTCGCTAGAACTCCTGAAGGTAACTGGTGTACATCAGCCTCCCAGCCACATTCACAGCGATGCGTTCACCTATGACCCCATCCTACAAAAAAACCCCCAAAACAGCAGCAACAAAAAAAACAACAGCAAACAAAAAAATCCTCAACCACCACAGGGATTTCTTAATGCGTTCCAACAAAACCCAAAAATGCTGAATTTAATTACGGTTAGCACAAAATAGTACACCATGACAACATCTAGAGTCATTGAGCAAAGCAGGGTATTTTAAACACTTGCTCATCTGAGAGGAAGAGATGGCACTTTGACATCTTAGGAAAGATGCTGTTCACAGCTCTGGCACGAAACTGTGCTGGTGAGAAATGAAAGAGTAAAGTTCGACGCTGGGGCTTGGGGAGGATCTAGCAGGCTGCCAGAATTTCCACGCGTTAGAACAAATGTAGGACTTCCAGAAAGTACAGAGGGAACACATGTTCAGACATTAAAAAGTGACCTGAAAAGGAAGAGAACTGGGTTCGTGCCATTTTATCTCGCTTAGAAGAGAAAAATGGCCAATAGCTTTTTTGGAGGAAGAAAATCAGCCCGTTTTATATATCAGGCATTCAAGCCCTGTCTAGTCTGGACGATAACGAGATGGTGACATGCCAAGAGCCAAAAGCGGTAAGGCAAGGGCATTTTTAGTATCAGATGAACAACTTTTATTAATGCCAATTTGCCTTAAAAAAACAAACCAAAAATCATCCACAACAAAATCAACAAAAACAAACAAACAGCAACAACAAAACCGATCAAACACGACCACACACCAAAAAACAGTGCCTTGGGGTGAAGACCAGCACCGTTAGCATCTCTGTTGTTCTTTAGAATTTTAAGATGCAGAAAGATTAACATCACTGAAACTCAGGTTTGAAACCAGTTTCTCCTCTTCCTTTTAGGATCCTTTCAGGCGGTCTTGATACACCTTAAGAGCCCAAAATAAATGCACAAATCCAAGTTTTCTGTGTTTCTTACTCCTTTGAAGGTCTGCTTAGCAAAACTAATGGATTTATGTCGTTTCTTTATTCCCAAAGCCACATGAACCAAAACACCTGAAACCCGCCTAGTTTAATTCAAGAAAGGGACTACTTAAGAACCAAGTTTGTGCAACAAACTGAAAAAAGTATGTGAAACCTTGGACTATTCAACCCTTCTCTGCAAGAAGACTGAGAATCAAAGGCTTGATAAAGAACTTATAGTGGCTTATCTCAAATTTAAATTAATTTAGTTAAGCTGGACTTGTATGTGAAAGTATCTTAAGTAAAAGGTCATTTACTTCAGCACACACTGCTGCAAGGGCTGTATCTTTCATACAGGTAGAAAGAATTTAGTGCAGGTCTCCTAAGTGCAAATAAACGAATGCAAAATAGATAAACAAAAATAGGAAACCACAGAACTCACTACTCAAATCCCCCCATTTTTCATTCAGACCATTCTACATAAATAATCAAAAAATGCATCACATCATTCCCGTTTGTGAATGGAAACAAATTCAGCTGGGCTTCACTTTTATCTCATACAACAATTGCCTAATTTTCCTTTCCTATTCTGTCGTCTCCCAGGGCAAGCTGGAACAAATGTGTATCTCATTCTCCTGCTGCAAAGGATTACCCAGATTTCAAGCCCACGTTCCAGGAGGTATGGTAATTTTCCCTCATACCTTCATCTTGGTAAAACAGGAAGTTTTCTTCCCTGACTGCTGCTCAGCATCACACTTGGAAGACTCGAGAAAGCACTTTTCAAAAGCTAGAAACAGCAACAGAGACCGTAGTAGCAACTGGAGTTTCTCCTGCTGAAAGCGGGGATTTTTGCCTCTGATGGTACCTGATCTGATTCCCTTCTGGGTTCTTCATAATGAAGAAATTCAACATGGAATTTAGGCTCTGACTTACAGTCACTGAAGCAAACAGCTGTGAAGGAACAAGACATCCCTCCCCAAACACGACTGCCCTGTTTTCCTGATGGAAACAGCGCAGAGAGAGTAAGGACAGACGTGTGCGCACTCTTAACTGTGCAATTCCTATCCCGGTGTACTGCTACAACTTCACGCCACGGCAGGTAAGGATTTTACTGGGTTTCTCTCTGAACAGCAGCAGGACTGTGTCGCTGTCAGACGGGCACTTGGGTTTCTCCGTGCCTCTGGCTAGAGGCCAGCAGGCGGTTCAGGCAAGCGGAGGTGGTGGCTGGCAGCCCCGCAGCTCTGGGCCGATCCGGTTCTCCAGAGGCTGCGAAGCTCCGATTGCACATGTTCCAGCAGCCGGCACTGCTCACGCTTCAGCATTATAGCAGTGTGAAATTACCACCTTCCCCATCTTGCTGCCCACAAGAAGGCAGAGATCATTAGGAGGGGTGGGTTACGTTTCCTGCCAACTTTCCCCTCAGCTGAATCTAGCGTTAGTTTGGAGAGAGAAGAATTGCGATATTGTCCTTCGGTTAATTCAATTGATATGGATACCATAAGACTCCAGGACAGTTGGCTTGCTTAAGTGTCTGGTGTAATTACCCTGATGTTATTTTTCTTCCTGTTGCTGCTGTACAGCCTGGGCTCCAAAGTATTTTCTTGCTGTAGGAGCGTCTCATATGGTATTAAAGGAAGTAGCTTAGACAGTGATGTTCAAGGACAACGGCTCTTCTGCTGCTGACACCAGACTACAGGAACTAACAGATAAGCTGGGCTGCTGCCAGCATGGCTTGGCCATACTCATTTCACCTCCTCACCGTCCTCTGGATGGGTGTTTCCCACAAAAAAAAAAAAAGTCTTCTCACTCCAGCCATTCAACAGTATTTCTGAGAGTGCGATCTATGCTTTAAATAACAGCCCAACCACTAGCATGGCTGCTACCTGACAAAGTCTAGATCCTGGTTAAATTAAAAAAAAAAAAAAAAAAAAAAAAAGGACAACCATCCTTACAGTATTTCTGTCTATACTTAAGTCTTTGGGCAAGTAAGCTGCAGAAACAGTCATCTATCTTCCTGTCTGAAAAAAAAAAAAAAAGACAAGTAGCTTCCTATTTCCAGTAGCCAGCATTAGTGGCATATTATTCATGTTTTGTCTACATAACATAGGCGTATACCATTTCAGCCTTTTGAATGGGCACAGAAACCAGCAAGGGAAAGCTTAACATTTGAACCTAACCAAACCCAGCACAGAGAGCTCAGATCCTGGTCTTCAGCAGCACATGCTGAGGCAGGGGGAGGTAGAGGATGGGGAGCCCTGAGGCCATCACCAAGATCACACAGCCCTGAGGGGCAAGGCAGCTCCTTGTAGAGCTCCCCAGGGCTCTGTTACAGGCAAAATAGGGCTGCGGCCTCTCTGACATCCCAAATATTTGATACCCAAGGCTAAAAGCTGCTTTGCACGTGCTTACGCTCAGCCCTTTCCAAGCTATTCGGCTACTCTTCCTCAGGTTTAATACCAGCAATACCTGAAGACCAAGCAAACATGGAACAAATCTGGTTCAGTTCTCGAGCCGCAATACATCTCTGAACACACCCACCTCAGAAAAAGCCAAGTTCACTTCATTGAGCAACATTCAGCCTCCAAGCAGGGACCACACAAGCCTCAGTCCACAAAACAGGAAGAAGCGGCCCAGACTGCACGATTTCAGCCTGATTTTAACTGTGCATTTCAGCTTCATGGGTGTTTCTGCTTTCACCATAATGCAACATTCCAGTTCAATGAAAAACACACAGCCAGCCCCAGAAAGAAGCAGCCACCGCTGCAAACAATACCATTAACCAGTTACACAACAGAGCTAAGAAAACAAAGCAGCCATTTCTTCACACCCTCCCCACTTTCTTCCACCCTCCTGGCTCAGAAGTGACGAGGCCCAGGCCTGCTCCTGACCCCCCCCATGGCATCTGCTGCTTTTCTTTTCTTGCCACCATGCCAACCTTTGTTTTAATTCCTCCCAAACTGAACGAATGCTGAAGTTTCAGGCAAAGTTGGGCTAGCTAAAACGAAGACATTTACATAATAAAATCTTAACAGCTGTTCTGCCAGTCTCTATCTGGAATCCTGCCCAGCGGAAATGAACAACTCCTCAAGAGGCCAGCCCAGGGGATTTAAAGGCAGATGTAAATTATCACAGCCAAATCAAGCCACGGGTGGTGTTAACACGTTTCACACACTTGGAGTGAGGCACAGATTTGCTTAGGGAAGCCATCAGCACCAGACAGGAGCCCAAGGTCTTAACACTTGAGCTTCCTTTGGGTCTCCAATTAACTCTTTCTTCCAAGAGCAAACTCCACTTAACCTGAAGAACCTCACCTGATTCAAGGCAGTAACACCTATTTGCTCTTCAAACAAGAGTACTTCAGTGTACTGTGGATTTTAAGGCTTCCTCTGAACTAATGACATGCAACAGAAAAAACAATCCTAGTACAGAGAAATTAGGCTGTCCTTTTCATCTGGTAAGTCTTTATAAAATATGAGAAAATCCCTCACCTTTGTGTTTGCTGCAATCCAATTGGAAGTTTCACTGTCATCATCACACTTTTTAATCCATTTCTTTAACCACTGTTAGAAAAATGAAGAAAGAAGAGAGTTAGATTTAAATGGAGGCATTGTAAATGTTCCCAAGACAGCTGCTTACATTAAGGTAAGGTACACAGAACCACATGGGAATATGGAGTGGGGAGAGGTGCTGGTGCTGGAAAGCAGTGCAAACAACAACTAATTTACGTTGCAGACATTTCCTGCAGCACCATCCTAATCCAGCAAGCACCATCACGCCCCTCAAACAAAACACTTCAGCAATCGGTTTGCAGTTTTAAGTTCAATCAACACAGACTTCACATGGGACTCCAAAATAATATGGACGTTGTAACAGTGATCTGCCAAAACTGCAGAGTTTCTGTGATGCCCAGCTTTGTGTTTTCGTAGGCTTGCAATGCCCACCTTATGCTTTTTTTCTTATTTAAAAAAACCAAAACATTACTGAGAACACGGCTTTATCAAATGAATGCAAGTCATAAAAGCAAAAGACTGCTTCCACCTGTTAGATAATAAATTGACCACATCTAGCCTGGAAAGACCAGCTAAACCACACAAAACTTTCGGTGAGGTTTCCCTCCCCTCTCCCCAAGGAAGCTTTTTTTTTTTCCCACTAATCACGAGGAACACAGGCTGCGCTCTCCCCAAGGCATGAAACATGGCTGTCTGTGACCCTGCACGGGCCACAGGATCCCAGGCTTGATTACAGCTTTTGATAACTCCATGAGCATTTCTAGGGTTCACTGCACAGCAGCAGATCCCAGGACCAAATTAATTGCTCCAGGAGGACCAATCACAAGCCTGCTGAAGCACCGAACACCTACAGAAACGCCTAGTCCAGGGATGCTTGTTCTCAAGCGAAGCGTTCGCTCCTGAAGCACCTTCATTCCTCTGCAGAGGGTCACAGCTGTAACAGTCTCCTCCTCCAGATATTTTGCCATCTGGCTGAGGCACTGTTCCTTCACAAGTCCAACTCTGAGGCATCCTAAAGGCACCCAGAACTATTTCACCAATTCTCACATTATCACCTAAACAGGTGAACTACTACGCTTCTTGATGCGAACAGCCTAAAAGCTCGTGCTTCATTTCTCTGTCTTCCACATAAATTGACTTTAAACTTTTTCAAGTCATGCATTTAGAAAACAACTTTGACGAGCTCACCTTGCATTTAACAGGATCATGCCAGTTTTCACCGCAGTTAAAGCTATAAGTGAATAAGAAAGGGAAAATAAGCAAATAGGGCAGATGATTATGCTTTTCTGTAACTAGGTTAACACCGTGGAATTTTTCTTCTGGGTCGTTCGGCTGAAAGACCAAAGCCAGTCCTAAGGAAACATTATACACGTCACAAAAACTTCCAACCCTCAAATCCCTGAACGGCCATTTCAGAGCAGTATGTATCTCAATGCATTTTGATTCTCTACACTGCCTGCAGTCAAGAACCTCAACTAAAATCTGAAACCAGCCAGCTGACAGCCATCTCGCAGTGAAAGCTGGATCTGTCTCCATGTCAAAGGACGCCCAAGACACAGAGAGAAACAACTACATAGTAAGAGGCTTTGCGACCAGCTGTACCTAATCCCAGCTTACCATTTGAAACCCACCCCATGCTTCTCCCACCATCTAAACCACATCCCCATATAAAGACTTACAGAATACATACTAATACATTCTCTCAAGGTAGTAAGTAAAAAGCAATGCCAACATCTTCTACTTGACAGTTCTTACCAAAACTGACGTCCACATTTGCAGCGAACGGGTTTAGCATCAGGATATTGGACTTTAACAACGTGGTGGCAATCTGGGGCAGGACACCATTTTAACAGTCGATTACACTATGAAATAAAGCAAAAAAAAAAAAAAAACAAACACAACATACTAGAAAAAGGATGCTGCACAAGGACACTACCTGCCCTTCATCCCTTTTTTATCCTTTCAACCATGACCTTCAGTCACACTCCTTCCTGTCTTACCAGCCCTCGGCAATAAGAGCGCTCTCTCCTCAATCTAAGCATCTACTTTCTACCGAAGGAAAGCAGGAATATGATATAGTCAAGTCTTCACTGTCAAATGACCTCTTATGAAAGATGAGGAGCATAAACACTTCTGCTGACCTCGTAGCTCAGCCAGAGTAAATACATGAACAATATGAAGCTATGAGGCTTTCCCCTGAAAAAAGCATCTGTCAAGCTGTTTGTGACTCCCGTCTCTGTTCCACTGCTGAAGCAGCCTTTCTGAAACTGCTCACGAAACACACACACCAGTTTTATACAAGCACCACTTTTTAAGATCCCTTGAACACCATCCCATTGCCTGTTTCTGCTCTACCGCAGCCAGATATGGGTCTGCATAGCTACTTTTGTCAGTCTTTCAGTCTGCAACACATGCTTAGCTTCAGCGTTGCGTTTAAAAACAAAACCAGAAAGAGACAACCCACTTCAAACAAGGAAAAGCTTGATCCCAGTAACAACTTATATGTTGGTCTCTACATGAACTGGGAAATCGGGACAGTAGAAAAAAAAAAAAGTCTTCCAAAGCACCTTTCTCCAAGTTTAATTTTGGGGTTGCAAAACTATTAGTATTTTGCTAAAAGCAATTTTGCAGCTTTACTTCACACAACAAATGTTTAAGTCATGTTCTTGTTCACAATAATGTTTCCTGGTTTTCCAGCTGAAGTATCTCAGGTAACATTCAAGAACTATAAATATTAAGTACTCCTCAGAACCTATATATTGAACAGCTCTTGCATTCTTTTTATCTACAGCTGCTTGCTCTACCTCTAGATCTTTTGTTCTGCACATTTTTATTACTATTTTCCTACAACTATACTTGTAACTAAAAGGGCTATAAAATAACCCTGGAAAAGCCTCTAACTTGCAGTCACACTTGATTAGAGACTTTGCAAAAGTCTTGCTCTACACATAAACAAGCCGCACTTCTCTGGTTTGGTACATACACAAGACAAAAGCAATGTAAAAGCCACTAAAAATTCCTAATAAAAACTCACCTCTACAAAACTATTGGTTATTAAATGCTGGTACTTTAATTTAACCTTGGAATCTGTGATCAGACGCCTGTGGAAAGGGAAGGAATAGAGAAAAATTACTGTACTAGAAAAAAAAAATCTTTTTTTCCATACGTATCCAGTAAGTTAAGAGACACAAACGGTTTTGATTCCTCCTTCTACACTTGTGGATACTGTTTTGTACTTACCTGTTCTCTATTAATATAGATCCTATTCTCTATTAATATAGATCATTTATTATATTACTATGAAAACTACAAATATTGTATGTAACTTGTAATATTAACTTCAGAATCATACAGAAAGCTCATGCAGTTCAAAAGAACTGAACCTCTTGGTACAGGGATTTGTATTTAAAAACATTTTCTGGAAGAGCCCAAGAAACAGAACAATTTCATTAGTTAATTCGCATTAAACAAGTGCATTTTATAGGAAACCCCTTTAAGCTCCAGAACAACTGTTGTGGTGTTTATAACTTTGGTAGACCTAATGTTATCTGGGTTTCAGTAGAATGCTACAGCTTCAGTTTAAAAGTTAATGTTGTTTTAATCTATTTAACATAAAAACAAACTTGATTTAGATTCAGCATCATAGAAAGCGTACCCAACATCAATTTTAACTTTAAATTAAAGCCGGTCAGTTCAGAAGCAGGACAGCAGAAGAAAACCAGACAGATAGGAATCCTTCAAAAAGCATGGTGGCCGCTTTCCTCCTGGACAAACCAACCCAGCTGGCATTTGCAGACTGCCCAGCCTAGATACATTCAAAATAATTCAATTATGTATTGCTGAGCACTTTTATAGACATCTTTCCATTATGACTGAAGTGTCTTCTGCATATGGATAAAGCTGGACTAATACACACTTTGTGGTATTCCTGTTTTAAATCATACTGTGGAATACAGCTTTATACAGGCCGTATCATGTATAAATAATGAAATTAATAGAATATCCATTTGAGGGTACAGCCAAAATCAGGGGCACTCCTGCACGTTATCATGAGACATTCATTAAAGAACAGCCCATGTGATGATGCAATGTTGCACAAACCCTAGCCCTCAGCAGTCTGGGGAGCTCCTCACCAAACGACATGCTGGTTATTGCATAAACATAGCACGCAGCAGCTAAATTCCCATTGCTAAAACAAAACATATCAGCTGACAAAGCATCTCATCAGGCCCGTGTCCACGGCAAGCCTGTAATTTTGGAGTGAAACTTACTAAAGAATGAAAAAACAATGTGGAGTTATAACATGAATTACAAATTTCACTTTCTTACCTAGGTTTCTAGACTTAATAAATGTCACTTGAAAAATTTATTGTATGTATAGATCAGGAACCGGAATTTAAATGAAAAATAATGCTACAACTAACCAGAGCACACTGAATATGCAATCCACTGTCTTTTGCTTACCACCACTGCCTACGATCACTCCATGTTAGCAACCTTGCCTGCTCTAGGTCCAACAGCGCTTCCACAGCACCACTCAGGTCAGGACCTTCAAGAGCTTTGCTCTGAATGTGACTGGATTTTGACAATAAATGAAACTACACAGATTAACAGACAAAACCCATTCCCAGTGCCCATTAACCACACTTTAGGGTACATTCCTTGTGAGCCAAGCTATAAAAGAAGCAACCTCACTGAAGCAGCAAGGTTGGAAAAGCAAACTGCTTGTAAAAAAAAAAAAAAAAATCAGCTCTCGATCTCTTCTGGCAGCTCAGTTCAAAACTACACAATCTCCAAAATTCATCCAAAGATGTCAGCAATGCTTTATGAGACCACAAATTTTGCACTTTTGTTCCATTTTGATAATGCAAACTCCTCAAAGACACTGATCTGTGGAATTAGCAACATACACGTGATGTGCGAGGTCAAACACCCTCCCACAGGAATTACTTCAAGACGTTACCACATTCCAACACGATGTAGCAGCAGTGGTATTTGCAATTATGCAACGGAAGATTAAAAATGAGGCAGCTCTCCATATGACATCCATAGAGGAACCCAAAATCCACCCATTCCCACAGAGTGGGTTGCCTTTCAGAGGTTACTACCAGACTGCTGCCACCCACGAGAGCGGCCGTTAGACACACCAGTAAGAAAGGCAGCCTGCCTTGCTTATTAATGAAATCAACAACTTTGCATGTAGGTTAAAGCAATTACCAGCAGCATTAGCAAGGGTGAACAAAGGATAGAAAGAGATTACCTTCCGCTAGTTTGAAGGTCTCAGAGAAAGGGACCCTCTCTTCAACCTTCCTACCTACGCTCAACACTAACATGGAAAATGGACAATAAGCTAGCTAAGTACTCACAAATCCAAGAAAGCCATCTGAATTGCTAAATTTGGACTCATCTGGAGATAATTCATCTTGCAGACGTACGGCCTTGCTGATGGCAATTACTGAGAAGGGTGCAAATTAATAACTTGGACTATCTACTTTGATTTTCTGACGGATGAAGAAACTGATGTGTCTATACATTGAACGCTAACCTAAGGTTCCTATAGGTTGGAAACCTAGAGCTGGAAGACTTTGCAAAAGCAAAAGACCCAAAAAGAGAATAATTAAGGACATGGTAGGGAATGCAGATTCCAGCTGGGATTACTTACATTTTTATTCATGCAATCTTATTTCATAAGATTGCCACAGTTGCCCATCTTTGCTTTTAAAGGAAAGCATTAGGCTTTTGCAAAAAAAAAAAAAAAAATGCACCTCCCAGACATTCCAGGTATCCTCTATAAGAACAGGGAAAGGTGGATTTTTTTTTTTACCTCCACAAAACATTTATCATTTTGCTTACACAAAGGGAGCTTGTTTGCTTTACCACCTACATGGCATTTTGCTATCGTAGGCCCCAGATACCTCTGTCATTTCTAGGCAAGAGGGAATCCCACAGCACATGGTATGAGTTGATGACTCCAGAGTCAACCCCATGTCACAGTTTTCTTTACTATAAAAGCCATGAAGTGAAACATAAGGATAGCCAGATCTACGACTAATAGCAAGCAATAGCAGCAGAAGCCACAGCAACAAAAGCCAGCGCTGCTCTCTTCTTCCATCCTTTCCTTGCTACTGCTACCACCACAGCCTACAACAATTTCAGCTACACTACTTTACACGCACTACTTGAACAGCTTATTCGAACTGTTGCAATCAAACACACTCAAGAAATTTCCTGCTAAGAGTGTGTACCACCACAAGTTGAGTTCAGACTCCAATAAACAAAAATCTCAATCAAGATATTATGCCAACTTCAGTTCAGTTTCAAACAAACCACCCCTCAACAGGGCATGAAAACATTTCAGCTACTTCCACTTCTACCAGCCTACACTTCATGACTAACACAGAGCCAGTAGTACAGAGGGATAGGGGAAATCACTAGTCTGAAAGCAACTGATATAAAAAACAGCAAATTAATATCAATGAGTGAGTCAGACTTCAGGAAGGAAGGAAAAAGGTAACAGAATAAGCTTTTATTTAGACACTTTTTACATGAAGAATTAAAATGAACTTAATCAAGGTTCAGAATCATGAAGGATATTACTCATGCAGTAACATCACCCAATGTAAAAGAGAAGGAAGCTCATGGAATTCACTGTTCCACCATGTACGAGCAGTCATACTACAGCTGGACAACTTCAGCAAAGGCTGCCATACCAGCTTGATCAAGTCTTATGTTCGAGGGTCACCTGCTTTCTATCAGAGGGCATAAAACACACCCTACAGACTGTACACAGGGCTTCTTTCCTCTGACTCACGTATTAACCATAGCTACAGGACTTGGTGAACCAGTGGGTTGACCTAGGTAGGAAGTCCTAAATTCCTACGTAAATCAAAGGAAACAAAATGCATAAAGCAGTTAAACAGGGTTTGGAAAGACTGTCTGGTGTTTATTGTGCTGTCTTGCTGACCAAACTGATCAAGGAATCTTTCCACCAAGTACTGTGACATGGGTTTTTCAGAGCTAAACAGGAAGTAAAGAGAGATGCTGGTATCAAAATAGTTCAAGACAGACCTCTCTGCTGCCTTAAAGCCTCTATGCAGTTTTCTGTAAGCCAGTACATTTGAACAGCATATGAGTAACCAAATGGTAAAAGAGAGGAAAGCCAAGAGGTAGCAACTCATCATACTTACATAACTGTATTGTCATCGACTAAGATATCACAGCCATGAGCAGGGCATGAAATGGTCTGAAAAAAAAACAGAAAAAGATCATAAAAGGAAGAGTGTTTATCCTATTTTTGCATCACAAAGAATTCCAAGGCAACAGACTTCACTATAATACATAGCAAAAATAGTACATTGGCTCTATCCTCACATCCCAGATGTGCCACTGTGCACAGCACGATTCCTCCCACCCAGAGCAAAGGCGCCTGCACTAACTCCATGTAGTTCCCTCCGGCTTCACCCGTGGCAGACTGCAGCCTTCAAAGCTTGGAGGCTTGCGTTTTCTTTGTTGTTCTTTTGGGTTTTTTAAACTTTAGTGGGGAAGAATTCTCCCCTTCCTTCCGCTTTCTTCTCCAATACACAGAATTGCCAGACGTAAGTCATGAGGTAGATGAGTTGACATTTTACCTGTCCCATGCCTTCCTCCATTATTTTGGTAGTTAAATATTCACTCCAGCACTGCATACAGAACTTGTGTCCACACTCTAGGCCAGTAAAGTACTGCAAGAAAGAACACAAGACATCGGATCATTTTATCACGTGGATTCACTCAACCATTTTGCCCTTCTTGGTGCTGTTCAGTTTATCACATCACTCATCCCCCACACCGAACTTGAGACGCTGCTATTTATTTTACATCATCATCAGTACAGAACATCTCCAATGCAGTTTTAGTCATGCTTTCAAAGCCAGACTTTAATCCCTAACCCTAGCAGCAAGGAAAGGTGTGGCTGACATTTCCATCCTTCCTGCCCATTTAAACTGATCCTTGTTTTCGAGGCAATATACAGAGCATAGCATGGCTCTCCTCCTTTTACTCTTGCAAATGAATAAGATAAATGCAACACCACCAAACAGGTCACAGTTATGAGATGATACACAGTCTTCTTTCCTCCTATTTTTCCACTTGGCTTGCTACCATATGTGGTTGCTGCCCAGAAGTCTCAGAATATGCACACCAGCTATGCACAGGCACTAATTTAGCTCCCTCTTGTATAGGAAACAGTAAGCGATCAGTCTGCATTACTGGGTGAGCACTAAACCACAGAAATAGAAAGAATTGTGTGCACTTACGCTTTTAAGGCATGTGCATAGTTTGCCAACTTGCTTGGTAAACTTCCCCCCTGAAACCCAGGTGCTCATCAGATGAAGACACTGAAGATCCTAATTGGCAGGTGTAAATTACTAAATAAAATTCAATAATGATTAGCTGTTGCAGACAGCAACAAGGACAACTTCATCTGTGTATGCATCATCTACACAGAGTACATCGAGATACCATCTGGGACTGAATGGTTACACAAGGGGTGGAGAAACAAACGCTGCTGAGGAAAGGCTGAAATTAAGTTACTTTTCTCAGGTCATCTTGAAGTTATTTTATACCCAGAGCCACGGGCAAGGACAAACTATATTTAAAACAGTTCACTCATACCACTGTGCAGGTTACTGTTTGATGGCTTTGCTTTTCAAGCCATCTTATGTTCAGCCAATAAGATAAAACAAGAGCTCCACCCTGAGATACCATCAACTGGTATGAAACTCCACAACTTACAGAAACCTGGTATCCTCTGCAGAACAGCCCGGAAAAGCAGCAGGATGCTGTTAATTAAGAAAAGGAGGGTGTCCATTTTAAGAAAACAATGTTCTTCCCAAACTGTCTCCTTGGCCGTTAGAAAATCAAGATTACAGTCATAACATTGACCATTTTGTTCACCCGACACATGTATTAGCGAGGTTACACTTGTCTTTCAATGCTACAGCACTCAGATTGCACAGGGAAGGTGCTTTTTTAGCATGTTCTTCCCATGGCCTTGCCACTGTCTGATTCACATTCGTCTGGCACTCCTATCATTAACGAGGGCACAGGTTTGAACCTGAGGCTTGGAAATGTGCTGTGATGCTGCAGCCAGTGAGCTCCACTGCCTGCCCTCCCCACAGCCCTGCCAGAGCACCGACCACCAGCAGTAGCAAGATGGGTTAAATCTGACCTGACCAGTCAGCAAGAAATGAGCCGAATATCTGACTTCATTCCAGGTAAAAAAAAAAAAAAAACCAAACACGAACAAAAAAAAACAACACAAGAGATACCCACTCAAACCTGTGCTTTCTTTTGAATAAAAACAAACAAACAAAATAACTAAAGATAAGAATCAGAGTAGTGTGTCCTGTCAGCACCATGGCTCAAGGGGACAGGAGGCCGACAGCTACAGGGTGCCTAGGTACACCAACTCCCAAGACTGGAGGGAAAAAACAAAACAAAACAAAACCCAACACCTTCCAATTTTTGAACCATTACTGAGCCAGCTAAGAAGGTGCCTGATGCTCCACAGCTGCTGCTGTGGCCAAGTGACATCCCCTGGAGATGCAGGGTTATGACAGAAAAGCCCCAACATCTGACACTTTTGGGATGCCAACAGCACACAGCCTGAAGACAGCACTGACTTTTCCCAGAATTATGGCTTCTCCACATGTGGTGGGAAATAAGCATGAACAAAGAGATCATCCCTTAATGAACCTAAATACTCCTGCAAGCAAGCAAACACAGGGAAGCACTACATAGGTAAGCACACACCTATATTGAAGACCCATTTCACTTATTTCAGGCACTGAAAAGATTTGCTAAATGCCCACATAAAAGGCAGCCACCACACTTCCTCCCAGGCTGCAAAGAATTCAGAGTATCTTTCAACTCATTTCTTTACTTTGAGGGAGTTCCCAGTTATTTTTGGCTAAGCTGAGAGCAGATGTCAAGGGAGCAAGCAAAACGGCCGACGCAAAACCATCAAGTGCAACGGACTTCTGAAACAACATGTTATCACAGGGGACAGCTCTACTTTCACCCTATCTGTACCCATCACCTACTTCTCTTGCGAAGCCAAGTGCTAGTGTAGGCACGCTGCCATTCGATACCTGTCCCTGCTCTTCTGGTAGCATCAAACTGATCTGAGATGCGATCGGCTGCTCGATCGGCTGCTCCAAGATGTGTTTACGGTGACAGCCTCCCTCAGGCTTTCTTTACTTCAGTAATGATGATAGCATCAACAGACTAAGTCACCTGCGTGTCCTTAGAACAAACACACCGTTTGGACAACAGCATGATGTTCCCCCAGTCATCCCCACCACGGCAGCCTTGCTCTCAAATGGGACCTGAAGGGTAAAATGCAAGAAATGAGGTAGGCAAAGCCATGACCCTCTCAATTCCTGTCTTACCAAAAAGGGTTTTGCCCAAAGTAACTACTGGAACTTGACCGTGGTTCATGGGGACACAGGGGGACTAAAATACCTCCCTTAAGTTTTCAAACCACCAGGGTGGCAGGCTGCCATGAAAGCATCAAGTGCCTTGTATTGCAGGTGCTTCCAAAAACCTCAAATCACAGTTCTTTAGAGATGATTGACTATAAAGCCTTCATATTTCCCTTAGAGGTGCTTTAAAAGGGAGACAAGTACCACCTGCAACGACCCCATGAGAGGGTGAATATTCAAGACACATTCCTGTAATAGCTGAGCATTGTACAATTTCTTAACATGCACAACTCCAAACTCTCAGCTTTCCCTAGGCTAAAAGGGTTTCTCAGAAAAGAATACAGAGCTTTCTTTGGGGGGTTGAGAGGGGGGAAGCTGACCACTGCAAGAGGATTTAAAAGCTGAGATTTTAGGTTAGGTATTGAACATAACTTATTCTAGAGTTTATAATTCACATTGACCAAAACAGCTTCAAAACAGATTTCAAACCAGATGGCTTACAGTCACTTTAGACACAGAGACACTACAGCCTTTTACAGAAGAAATAATAAATACTAGTTTTGCTATATGCTCCAACTTTTATGTATGGCAAAGAAACAGAGGTTCCCCTCTGCTGTCTCTTGACTTAATCAACACCAACAATATAGACACTCCCCTGCTCACCTGCAACCTCTAACTGCTCCAGCTAAGAAACTGCTCTTCCAACGACTAGGTCACTATTATTTTTATTGTGCTATTCATTAAGGCATTAGTGTGCTTTGTGCAGATCTTCCCAGAAACCAGAAAGCTGCTTCCCAGGCAGCACATGTACCCCCAAGCCAGAGGAAAGGCCTGTCAGTTGTGAGCACTGGGCGTATTGTTCCCACCCAACACAGCAACTACATTCAAGAGGGGAGAACAATATATTAAGAACTGAAATGAAATCTAAATTTGAAGTTCCCAAGAGAGTTTTTTCTTGAGATGGACATTAAGATGCTAAAGATGTCTCCTCCCATTTTTCCATCTCAGTCCTCCTCCATTTTCATTAAAAATGTTGCATAGCCTAAAATCATAATAATTTCCTTATTACCTAAACATGGAAAGTCTGAAGTGATTAAACAATGGGATTTTAGCATAAGGTAGTGCATCAAGCAAATTTTTCAAGCTTTTCTTTTTCAAGGCACCTCTTTATACAAGGCAAGCAACAATTCTCCTTTACAGCTATTCTCTAAAAAGGACGTCAATGCACACAAGGCTTAGAAGGAGATGCATGAAGTCCTGTGGTTACTGGCTCATGAGTGATAGTGATCTTAACACTGAGAATCTGAGCGGCCTGAAACTGGGCTTTGCTCTGCTCTGCCTGCTCCAGAGCAAGGGAAATGCTTGCAGCCAGGCTCCCCCAGCAAGGGGGTACTTTATTCAAGGCTACTCATAAACCCCAAAGCTTCTAATGGTTTCCATTCTTGTTGAAAAGCAAGCTCATAAAAACACACCCAGAGCAAGAGTAGAAGCCTTATGTAAGGGCTGCTCTGATCTTTAAAGGACAGGCAGACCTTACGGTTCTTTGAGGGGTCAGGACAGCTCCACCAGGTTACAATCAAGGAAAAATTCCTCACGTATGTCAGCACCCTGCCTTTTGGCAAAGCCACGGATGAACTCTCATATTTGAGCTTTTCTGCTAAACTTGTTCTCTTCCAGGATCTCCAATCATGAAGTCGTGCCTCTGGAAAGTCACAGCAAGTTGCTAGCCTGCCCAAACCACAGCAGAAGCCTGGACCTCTGATTAGTGTATGGGAAAGTTTAGTTTTTGTCAACAGCTACAAAAAAAGAAGCACCATCATCAATCTTACCACAAAACCAAAAGACTAATTTAGAGCCCTGGCAAGCAATTCTACCCTGACATTCTCTGATTAAGAAGGTATTGCACAAACATTAGAAAGATCCAAAGATTTCCACACTGGTTGTGTTCTCTGAACAGCACAACTTTATTTTACTTCTACTCCTACTCAGTTTTATTCTAGGCTTTCTAGCTTGACTATTTTGCATCATTATTTACTACTTTTATACGTTATTTCCTGTCTTGACATTCTTTTTAGGTAAATCCCTTTGCTCATCATGCTTTTCACATATTTTTTCTTTTATGTATCATTTATTCGCATGTCTCAATTGGTATCTGACCTTTGTAAAAATCACTTGATCTACTGCTTGCTTTCTTCTGAAGAACTTTACGATCCCGCCTCCCAGACCCCAGCATCCTCAAAGGTTTTTGCAGAAGGGATAATAATTTCATTTGAAACGCAATCTCATTTCAGGTAAACTGATACCTTTTGAGGCTCATTTAAAAAAAAAACAAATAAAGTTTGTCAAACCACACAGTAAGAATTCAAGAGAATGCATAAAGCACTACATAATTCAGTGGTTCCCCCACTGCATTACTTGGATCAGGTGCAGCGCTCAAAACATAGGCTTTATTGCATTAAGGAACAATCGTGAACATTGTTTTTTAATGCACATACTTACAGATTAGAAGATTCAATGAAAAAAAAAGTGAAATCTGTTTAATTTCAAAGGCTTTTTTTAAATACTGTAGAAGAAGTCCTTACAGACTTCTGCCCAAAACGTTAAGTTTCAGACAGCAAAGTCTGGGGAGTGACTGGTCAGATACCACCTTGGCTGCCAGGTACTCACCGAGTTTGGGTAGTTCAGATAGCAGATCTGACAAGGCATATCCTGGGCTGACGACCTGGTGTTCATCTGGCGCGTTCGAGACTTTTTACTTGGATTAATTACATGACACTCTGCAAAGAGCTTCTCCAAGTTGCCATCAAAGTACCTGTATAAACACACAGAGAATGAAAATTCACCTACCTGCCCTGTAAGTAATTTTTCAAATTTATTTGGGAGTTAAATGTACAAAGTTGGGTTAATATTTCAAAACCCACACACCCACTACTTTTAACATATTCTTCATTAATATAACACAGCCCCGACCAGAGGTGGATGTCAGACAACCACATCATTTCAGAGATTCTGGCTTGAATTGCACACTCCTGAAAATTCAGGTACCTTCGATTCTTCAGCTGCATTTCAAGTAATTCATGATTCTTCACAGCAACTGCTTTGCATTAAAACTCTAGGACTGGAAACTAGAGCAAGAACATCCTACTTCAGAGTTCAGGCATCAGGACATCTTCCTGAAGCACAGGTTTGATGCCCCCAAATTCAATTCCCTTTTCAGCTTAAGCCTTCTATTTTTTCCTAATATTCTAATCACTAAAACATGAAAGAGGAGGCAGGAAGCAGCAATCAGTCAGTTTGCAATTCAGCAGGTCCCTAGCTCCTGTACTCAGTCTACACTAAGTGTGCCCCAAAGAGGTCCTGACTTTAGTGTTAGCACTTCCTTCTCTGATCTAAGGAGAAATGCGTCAGCAGAGTCAGACACTTGGTTCAGCTGATCAAGCGCTGAGGCATGGTCACCGATCTCCAGTTAAGACAACTGCAGGACTGCCTTTCACACTTCAGTCATCTCCAGCATTTTGGAACAACTGCTGCTAGGTCTTGACTCTGATCTCCAGTTAGGCAAGGCTTCAGTTTCACACTGAATATCTTGTCCACGTCCATAGGCTGCACAGTCCATATTTTGGGCTAAAACCCTAGCCATTTAAGTAGCTTTTGTTTTCAGTGAACCTGAGATATTTTAACAACCTCCTAAGAAAATACAATTCCAGGTTTACAATGCTTCCAAATATTAAATATCTCATGGAAAGCAGGATGCAGAATTGGATGGCAGGGAGATGAAAGATCACTTTCTATTTCCTATTCCCTTACAGAAAAAAAATACTGGTTTGGTTTACAGGCTTACAGAAAGCTCTCCAACTTGGTGAGGAGGAACAGATTCAAAAGAATCATTAGTTGGTAGGTCAGCCTCTTCCCAGTATCAAGACATCACATACCCTTCTCCAGTCTGCAGCAGCTTCAAAGAACTAACCAAATCTGACAATTAACCAGCCAACCTTACCTGCACACGCACCCCCCCCATTCAAATCCAGTAAACAAGTCATTCCCCCCCATCATCATCAGTGAGTTAAATCCAAATAAGGATTTAACTTACCTAGGAAAACCTCCCCACATTTAACCATAGTGCAGTCACTCAGATACAAGACCAGCAAATTTACTCCCAGCAGACAACTGCCTCTGTAGCTAAGCACACAGGCAAGGCTGAAGTTAAAAGAATCTTTACGAGGCACATCTAAACCCATCACCAACCACACACACACAAAAAAAAAAATCTGCTTACTGCAAACGGATAGAAGGAAATCAAGACTTTCTGCTGAGGAAAGAAGTTACTAGCTATGTCACAAAAATGTGGGACTAGGCCTGGTATACAATATCTAAACAAAATGCCTCTGGCAAGATTATCTTATCCTGCAGTATTCCCCAAGTTCCAAATCCATAGCAGCTCTCGTGCACCACTACCCACCAACGAGACTTTACTTACAATAAAAAAGGGTTAATTTCACTGCTGGTTCATATACTTCTTGATGCAGTTCACATACTTTAAATCTTAATTTTCAAGACACTGAATTCTGAAGGTAGTGGTGAACTCTGGCATTGCAGCATACACAAGGCTTTGCCACTGTTCTTCAATGTTAGCTCAGGGATTTAACTCAGTCAAGTTTTGTTTGCCTTCAGGATTACTTATAGCTAGAAAATTTTTTGCAAGTTAATTCACTGCAGTCCCATTATAGGCAGTATTTGTTTACTGAAGAGTCATGGATAAATATTAACTCCACAAAAGGTTTCCAGCCTTCAAACTGTTTTTACATGCAGCATGATCTGCTTAGGGCATCCTCCATTTGAAGAGAGCAGACAAACACTTGGGTGTGATGTTTGCAAAGAGAATAGTTTTGAAGACAAACGCTGTGATGCAACTTTAATAGTGTCACATGTGGTCAGCTAAATGCTTATGGAAATACCAGAGATATTTGTAATGGTGGGCTCTTTAAGTGTGCATATCCACATCAGGAACGCGACTTTGCCACTTGCACCAGGCAATTCTATTTTTACAAAATCTCTGCAAAAGCTACTCTCCTGAGCCATGACACCCACTGCCTTATGCCAAGATATATAGACAGAAAGTTGCCAAGAACTGCTTTTCACCTGGAATTACCTATCCCCTCTAAGTACCAATGAGTAACTTATTCAGAAGAACCACTTCCTTCCCAATAACAGAGGGAAAATAAGTGATTTGACATAGCGTGTTTCTTGGGGCTAAAGGCTGGTGATAAAGGTAAAATGCATAGATTGAAGTCTTTAGCCAATTTAAGCATTTCCAAAGCACCGATGCACTGCAAAACATGAAGGTGCTTATATTTTGGTACAACAGCCACTGCCTGTATCAAGTCATGCCTGTATTAAGCACCTGGTCTCTCCTACACTTACACAGGAGAAGCAAACAAGGCAGCTGAGAGACTCTGTCAGGGCCATGCAAAGGAGGGAGGAAACATGAATCTAAGAAAAAGGCCTTTTTAACTCTGCTGCACTCTTAATTCTCACAATACTCACTCTGCCTTTTGGGATTACCACTTGTAAATGCCACTGGTGTTGAGGAGAAACAGGCTACTGGGTATTCCTCCTAGCCCATGCTGTTTTCTTTTAATGCATTTGCTTGCTTTGCTGTGCTGGGTGCACCAAGCAAGTAATTTCCACAACTATTTGCACGTATATGTCTCAGGCTCATAATCATGCTGTCACTGGGCAACAGGAAAATAAGAACTCTAGAAAATGCAGACAAAAACCTGCATCTCCCTGAAAATTCAGAGTTCCAATGGACACTCCAGAGTAAAGTCCAACAGCTCTCTAACTGCTCCACCACTCCTTATGCAAACACACAGAGGGCCCGGTCAGAAGCCTGTTCCAGTTCCTTCAATGGTTAGGGACAAATCTTAACTCCAATTACCATGCCTTTTTTTCACTTGTTCAAGCATCAGTACAGACCATCCGTTTAAGCAGATCTCCCTTTGCCCTTCCTGTGTTCTTCAGCCAAAGGATTCGCAGGCAGCAACTGTAACACTCTTTCCCAACAAAGCAGATAAGCTTCTCACAAGACATTTCTCCACTTCCCTGTCCCAGCAAACCTTCTCAACCACCGGTTTGCATTTCCATTCATCCTCCTTGGACCCAAGGAGGCCAGAAAATATGCAATCCCATTTAAGATTTCACCACAATCTCAGGCAATTTCATCTGTACTTCTCCTGCAGATATCTCACCTAATGCATACTAAACAATGTCTCCCTTTCCCCAGAGCTCCATGTTAGCAGCTCCATTTTAATCTCTACTAGAAACCCCATGTTCGTTTCCATCTGTGTTGATGAGACCTACAGTGACACTTTGTATCCCTTGCATTGCTAGGATCTTCCCAGCTGTCTTTTTTTTTTTTTCCTGTATAACACCTGGAACCTCCTCCTAACCCAATGCTTCCAAACAGATTTGTGCCAAGTCATTCATTAACACTAACAAACATTCATCCCCAAATTAGCTGATAATGGTCTTACTAACAGGTTCCATCTAATCTCCTACTACCCTCTTGAGCAAATTAACTCTATAAACACCATACCAATAGCTGAACCCAATGTATGTCCCTTATTTCACATAACACAGTTGCATGCCATCATCCCTGCTGTGAAATATGGGAGAAAAGTCCTTTAATTCCCTCCTCACTTCCTTCCTAATTCCAGGGGTTTTGATGTCTCAAGGTCTCGCTATTCAAAGGGTTGCTTTTTGGTAGCTCACTCCTCACTTCCGTCTTCAAGAGGAGCACAGCACCTTTTCAACCCCCTGCCCTCTTCTCCCTTTGCAGTGCAAATATTCAGTAACTCTAATGCTCCTGATACTTGAGAAATGTTATGGTCTAATTCAACTAACATCAGACTCTTTGCTCAATATAGCCGACTTCAACAAGTGGTTCTATTAGTTTTTCAGAATTAATTCTTTTAATCACAAAGTTGTTTTCTCTGCTACTTTAAAATGAATAGACACACCAGTGAATTGTTTTGAAGTTCTTCTATAATTTCTTCACTGTTTATCAAGTCCATAATAGTACCAAGTCTTTCTGGCAGAAGGATCAAGCTGTCAGCTTCATTTCCCCAAAATTTCCCCTGCTGTTGGTAACTGCCTAATCACAATTTTCTAGACATAATAAAATCCTATCCAAGGGAGTATCAAAGATAAAAAAAGTCTTGTCACTGGAAAAAAATGCTTTTAGTACACACTTTAGGATATTTACTTCAGTGAAAGAGCATTTGTGAATGTCAGAGACTCAGTGTGCTCACAGTAAAAGGTATCTTCATACCAAAATGCCTGCCATACACAATTTTTCACCTGTTCAGCCTCTGCTGAATAGTGTTAAGTACTTCTTTGCCCAAAGGAAAGCAGACAGCCAGGTACCTACAGAGAAGAGTCAGGCCTGAGTACAAGGGGAAGAGGCAATCTGGGCTAGTGGCCAAGCCACCAGGGCCATGCTGGCATCTGTCCTCTGCTCAGAGGGAACAGACGTGGCCACCAAGATAAGCACTGACGAGAGTCTGCAATTCCTCTGGCTGTACCTCCAGGGATTAAGTCAGGCCTTTGGTTACATGCTGAAACGCTTTTCCTAAAGAACAAAATAAAAAATGACCAGGGGAAGGCACAAAGTGGAACAGCTATATTTTAGTCTCTTCATCACGGGGAAGTTCATCCCCAAAACTCCCCTCAGGAGGGAAGAATGCTATCAGCCACAATAAAATTGGAGGGGAACCAAGATGAAGTTATAAGCTAAAGCACTTCCACTTATTTCTGGGGTTACCTGGTCAGGCTGCACCTGCTAGTCTCCCATCTCTTAATTAACTAAGCTTATGAGACAGAGGAAAACATAGTATTTAACATCTTTATTCTCCAAAATATGTGCAGCACATCAGAAGCTGAACTCGAGTACTTCCTCTGCTACCCACTTCCATCCTACAAACAAATCCACACCAAAACACCAATTTTGCTTTTGGATACTGTCAAATAATTAGCGCTTCACCAGTGGGATAGAGCAATTTTTCAATTGTGGCTATTACTTCATTGTAAGTGCAATAAATACCTGTAACATATCTGCCCTCATAATAACACCATGCAATTATTCCCATGACAAAGCTGGCACAGACAATAACAACCTGCTTATTAAAAATACTCATAACAATACGGAAAAGCGATGAAGAGGTTTTCACGTTTTAAAACACAGACATTTTCATCTCACGAGCTCAGACCTCACCACACTCACCACTTTATAAAAAAGCCACTTTATTTATCTGCTTTACTCCAGGCAAAGTTTGATAAGGCTGCCTGTTACATCATGCTGACTCATGATGAGCTAAGGCAAAACAGACACTGGCTAGGTATGGTAAATATACACCATTAAGCAACTGACTTCAAGCTCTGACTTGGTGTGAAATCAAGCCCCCAAAATTGCACCCAAACATTACATCTTAGCAAGCATTAAACCCACCCAGACTACAGGCAACAACAGGAATTTCCTGGGAAGTCTTCCTAATGGTTATCAGGAGTAAAAGAGGCCAAATTTATACCAGTACACTGTTTAACGTAAGAGCCCCCCGGGGGAAAAAAAAAAAAAATTTACATCTCCAACAGTGTTGCAGAACATGGATTCACTTGGTGTTTAAGCTCTTTTACTTGGCTTTACTTGGGTCAGGCTCAGCCTGGGTTTAGCTGGCAGTGCAACGGGTGCACACTGACAGGCAAGTTACACTATTAGCAAGCTGGAGATTTCAGACACAAGACTTCTTTTTGGGTCAGACACTGAAGACACAGTGAATGGATAGTGTTAGTTTCAATGTAAAAATGTAAATGTAAATTTTGGGGGTTTTTTTCCTTAAAAAAACAAAGTAGTGTTTAATTTTTTTTTTTTTCCCCAATTAGAGCATGCCTCTCCACAAATGCTTGCCAGCGTTTTTCAGCTCGTTAATACTAACACGACACTGCAATAAGACTTGCTGGACATACACAAAGCCAAGTCAGTCTCAAAAGTGATCTCTGTTTCAGGAGAATAACCAAGTCTAACTTTGGGCTTAATCAGCTTGTCATGTTGTGATGTGCAGCTAGCTCATGGCATCATTTCCAGCTCCATCACTATTTCAACCTGATTGTTTTGCATCCTGGCTACTGAAGTGACCACCTGCCTCCCACCCTTGCCTGCACCAATTGCAAAATCTTCTTAACACTACGAGCCAGCTCCGAGCCTCTTGCCCAGGCTCCTGCTCCCTGCTCTAACACAGCTGAGTGTCAGTGGAGGGCTGAAAAGGGCTTCGTGGGAGCTGGCCCGGTGAGGAAGAGACAGAAAGCAGTATCAGCTGCTTAAGAGAAAATATATTAGTGTTTTTCTAATACAACAGGCCACTGATCAACAGCAAAACTGTGACTAGTGTGCAACAGGTCTGCATAAGCAAGGGTCACGTATTACATTACTCACAGAGGTAATCCTATAGAATTAAGATAAGTATTTTAATGAATATGTACCAAGAGTAAATGTTTACCTGTGGACTTTGAAAATATTTACATGTGAAGTGATTTGACGGGAAACTGTAAAAGCCTTAATAATAATACCTCACGTAAAAGTGGCCAACACTTCCCTTTGAAAAAACCCACTGCCTCTTTTTTTTCTTAAATTGGTGGCAGCCTTAAACCAGCTTTCAGCGAGAAGGGAAAAAATCCTATTGAATAAAGGGATGACATTCCAGTACACTTAGAGGTATCTCAAAGTGAGATGGAGGTCACCAGGGAGAGTGAACTTTAGCCTGGCCAAATGAACCAGTACAAGAAACTCGAATACAAAGAAGTGACACACACACATTATAGAAGAGGAACTAAATCAGAATGCTTAACAGTTGTGGTCAGATTTAAATAGCCTCAATGTGATAGATATTAGTAACACAAAGATTTCATACTTCCAACATTAACTAAAAGATGTCAGTCCCAGAAAAATAAAGCAAAGTCTAGAAAGCTTTAGAAAATACAATCACTTCAGGGGAAAAAAAAAAAAAAAATCTAGGCCAAACAAAACATAAGAGGTACCTGAGCACTATTGGTAAATGAAAGTGTAACACAAAAGGGGCTAAAGGTGTCCTAAATCCATTAAACCAGGATAGCAGAAATATTTAAACTCCAAAACTATCTATTAGCAGACTGAAAATCTGTTGCTCTTCCACACTTGGACTCTGCGTGGAAGAGTATCAAACTTGATTGGCTCAGCACAGAGCACCTACGGGCTGTGAAGTGGCATTTACCAATTCAACAGTACTACCAACAATTGTTCCTGGTTTTTGCAGACTGCAAAGCATCCTACCTTCTCATACTCTGATCATGAGGCAAAGGAAATGGTAATTGAAAGTCAAACAAACAATCTTACCAAGCACTTGGTTCTTCTACCCTCACCCCACACACGCTCATTTCTGTCTCTTAACACTTGCTAAATCCAGTAAAGACCCTAACAACCAGTAAGTCCCTGTATTGCCTTTACTGCTCCTTCTGGTTCAGACTAATTCTCTGCCAGCTTCTGCAAGTAAATTGCATTCTCCAGCTCCCTCACACTCTCAACAGCAACACTGGCATTGAAAAAGAACAAGTGCATTAGCACTGTAGCTGGATTTGGCCCCTCCTGTATAATAACAAACTATAAGAAGTACCTTTACCAGCAACATTCCCCAAGAGCTGGGAATAAAAGATGAGAAATAACCATAAAATGCTCTGCTCTGAGGGGGAGGGAGAAGCAAAATTCAAGCCATTATTTACACACACACTGAAGAAAATCTAGAGCTGCAAAGATGAAGACAACACAGATGCACTTTACCAGTAGCCTTTATCAGTCAAGAACAGTTTAGTCTCAGCAAGATTAACAAATAAACACGTCAGAAATATGCATGCTAGCATAACATGCAAGAGCAACTAAACCCAAGCAGTCTAAACCCAACTGCACAATAACAGGAACCTGTTCCTGCTTGCTTTTTCCAGAGCCTGTGAAAATGCTGTGCCTGTATGTGTTCAAACTGGAAAGCATCCTTTCCTCCAAGGGGCAACTAACTTCCAAAACTCCTCTGAAGTCTAATAGATATTAATAATATTAAACCAAGTAGTCATTCTTAGCTGGTAAATGCTGCTATAGGGGGAACATTTAGAGCTTACACAAGATTCTCCCGCCACATACTGTGCATTCATCCATTCTCACATTAATCCGGTAATAAACTTTCTTTGCAGGTCTGAAGCGGAATGTGGCTGCATGCTAAGATGGCTGCTTACCTCTCCATCAGCTTCTCTTTATCCCAGTTGAAATGGCTAAGCAGTATTCGAGTGATAGTCGCTGGATTCTAGAGAAAGAAAAGAAAAAATAATTGAGTAACAGCTTGATCCAGTTGGTATACGGTTATGAGAACACCAAGGAGAGTTTTGAACAAGCAAATGGAGAAATCAGTGTGTCTGATAACATAATCTGTGCAGACAATACATGTTAAATAACTTATATTGGAAAACAGTTTGACTTGGCAGAAAAATTAAAAAAAAAAAGCAAAACAAAACAACCTCTGTAAAGCAAAAAGGCTATATAAAATGAGAATACGATTGAAGGCTTAAGGAACAGGTTAGTTACTGCTACCACAACAGATGCCCACGTGCCAACATCTCCATGTCCAGCATGCTTACACAACGTAATCGTGGGATGTTCATGAGGTGCAGGAAGCGCTAATTGCCATCCACCCTACTCACTTTTTACATAGAGCTCTACACTACTTGCATAACAAGAATATTCCTTGTTTGTTCCAGCCCTGACCTCCAAAACATTGGGCTGAAAACTCTCCCAGAAAGTAATGGGCTGCCAGTGTCAGACGACAAAGCCCTCTGAAGTCTCCACATGTTCCCACAGCACCCCAAGATGCAGAAAATACTGTGCAGTTATAAAACTAAGAAGAGAAATACAGCCTAGAAAGGTCAGAAATATGACCAGAAATAAAAGCTGATTTTCACTTGTACACAGGTTTTTCTTCCAATTTAACCTGTATCATCAGCCAAGCTCTGGTCATGAGAAACAACAACTCATATGCCTTCTGTTACACCCCAGAACCATGTTTTAGCTCCCTAAATCCAAGCCACCTCGGCTCAGTTTGAGGACCATTTACATGCAACAGAGGCAGCAGCGAGTGTCCAGAGAGCCGCTAAGTGTATTTTGCCATTTGACACCAAAATGGAAGCTTGCCTTAGGGCAAATTTTCAATGGACACTCTGAAGCTGTTGAAAAGTAGGACATAACCGAAGCAATGTGATTTTCTGAGCCCGCAGGCTATAGATACAACTTGAAGCTGCCAAAAGCCAGTGCTGCCACCCAAAGCAGTGATCCCACCCCATCCTCACCCTCAGCTGCACGCTCGCATGTCCTGTGCTCACCAGTCCATGCCAGTACAGCCATCTCATGCTGCAACAATGCAGATTACTGGCTCGGAAATGGGTATTTTTTTTCTTCTTTTCCTTTAAGTTGTTTTTTCACTGAATCAGTTCCCCAATCTGTCTGATTGCCTGGCCACACAAACAGCTGCATTAGCACAAGGAAGAGGGCAGGAGGGGACAAGCAGGACAGCATCTTTCAGCAGCAACACCAACAAAACATTCACTGAAATAAAGCCCTAGGGTCAAAATCTAAGCACAAAGAACTAGTCTTGTGCTTTATACTATAAAAAGTGACACTCCTCTCCCTCTGCAGTGCGTTCTTACTCTTATTAATGCCAGCACAGCTTGTTTAAAGCCAAATTAAGAAATTTTTCCCCACTTAAAAAGCCCATGCGAACAAAAGCAGCTTTAGAAAGGTTAGACCAGATCCTTGATCCAGTCCATGTGGAGCCCCGTAAACAGCTGGGATGGCAAATCTGCTACACAGTACGGGGCAGAAAAACCAGAAACCAGTATTGCCAAACGCTCTGTATTGTGAAAACATGGCCCCAGCCCCTCTTTGAAGAAGTCTCCCAGGCGATATGGATCCAAGCTCCCAACTGTAACAACACAATGAGGTGCTTGGCTGACAACCACCCGCGCCTGGCCGTGACCAAAGAGCCAGGCAGCACCCCGACCTCCAGCACGCCAGCAGCGCTGGGGTAACAGCGCTGCAGCTGCCTGCCACAGGGGCGATCCCACTTTGGGGCAGATTTACCCATTCCTTTGTGTCAAAGTAGTGACAGTGCAGCTTGGGGAAAAGCTGGACTAGCTCGCTGCTCTGATGGGGCTATTTCCCCCCCCTCTCTTTTTAGCTCTCAGCCAAAGCAGCAAGTTGATACAACTTGCTGTGCAAAAGCAGTACAGATACACTGAGTATATACCCTGAGGTAAGGGTAAGAGGCTCTTCAGGCAACAGGATGGTCTTTGCATGGTTTGTTATCTCCTACAGAGCTGCATCCTCGCCTTTTGCCCTGGCAGTGGGGCCAACAAGTGCTCTGCCTGGTCAACATTGTTCAAGCTGCTGCAGCCACATGGGAATCATGCTAAACCACCATGGAACCGCATTTAAAGAAAAGAAGGAGGGGGGGGGGGAAAAAAATCATGACAAAGCTTTCCAATAGCACCAATCTCTGACCCAGCCCAGCACACAGCAGCACAGAGCCTGTGCCAGCACTGCAGACAGAGGGGAGCAGCTGAACTGTGTCAAGTCAGTCCTGCGACCAAGAAGCTGTATGGGAATTTAAGGGTCTCCCTTCACCAGGGAGAACTGCAGCCTCTTCCAAGGCTTGAGTTTTTGATCTTTCTGGGTTACTTTGTATTTGGGACTCCACAACATCTTTGACTGTAACACTATCTATATTATGTAGCAGTACCTAAAGGAGCTCTTATCAGATCACTTAAACAGGCTTCCTAGAGCAAATTAATGAAAGGTGAAAATATACTCTAGTAAACAAACTGATCTTATCTCTAGATTATCTTGGTTATGATACCAGCTTCTATAGTCAGTACAACTTCTATTTTAAAAAAAAAATTTCTATGGTCTAGGACAAGTCTTGCCTCAAACTGGGAAATCTGCTAAACATACCAGGCAGATAGCAGGTATAGGTTTCTCTATGTAACGCTTCCAGCACACTCAATCTATAAAGCACATAACTTGAGCCCCTCAGCCCTGCCACGCTCTAGATTTACAAGTGAGTTTCAGACAGTAAAGCATGCAGCTTCTCAAATACAAGGATTCTTCACTTAGCCCAGAGATCAGCCAGATGTACAAAGAAATAGCATTTTCTCTTTTTCCTCAAGCAACAGCATTAAGAGAGCTTTAAGACAGTCCGAAGTCTTGTCCTACCTTCTGCTGTGGCAGCCCACTCGGCCACTGTATTAAGGGTTCTGGGAATACCTATTAATCACTTAATAAGCTAAAGAGACAACTAAGGTAGTGGTCTCTGGCTGACTTTTCTTTTTAAAGATGACAGGTTCCCCCTGCACTGAAGGATAAGCTACGCCATATTAATAAGGAACTAAAGCGGTCCGCAGTGATTATCAAGTGCGACACGGCAAATCCAGCAAATACTGCTCATTAAAGGACGAGCGTCTCGTTTCATTTGTGGCTTTTCCACTTGCCCAGAGAAGTGCCACCGCGGCTTTCCAAAGCAAGTTTCCCCAGATCACAACTCCCAAGTATCCCAGCATCACAAAAAGAAAGTTGTTTTCCCACTGTGACAGCAGCGTATGAAGCAGCACATTATTTCGGATTATACTCCAGAGACCAGCACTGTCAGCTTAATGTATTATAACACAACCATGGTGTGAGGGGTAGCTTTTACTAGCTTGTTGGGCTTTAGCTTCCTCCAGCTACAGCAGTATTTGTTCATCATGTTAACTTAAAAAAAAGGAAACACCAGCAGCATGACAAGCTCCTACCAGAAATAGCTGGGCTGCCTACTTTCTCTGCTTGACACATCCAAGATCTAATATTAAAAACTTAACTAGTTGTTCTATTGATACAGAAGGCAGGATTAAGACTACTGTGTCCTTGCTTATATGCAGTGGGGACAGCAACACAACCTGAGCCAGCATTACACAGGGAGGACTGAAGACAGGGAAGGAGGCAGCGCTAAGAGGCTTGGTTTGCATAATGTAAACCACAGTTAAATACAAATGCAAAAACCTCTGGCATTAAGGGCTGTTCTAATTTAAGGCAAGGCACACCAACAAGGTACAGAGTAACAGCTGCTCTGCATTAATTGCTTGCATGCACACACTTACCTCACCATTACCTGGGAGCAGCTTTGGAGGAATAAATCACAGCATCTATCACAATGAGACACTGCTGCAGAGCAGCTATGTGCTGTAACTCAGTCATACCGGGTTAAAACGACACCAAAATAATTTAATGTTTCAACCCGTTTTGACACTAGCTCAGCTCCAGCCCTCTATCAACCCTGGCACTGCTGTACGAGCCCTCAGCAGTCACTCTGGACACTCACTCCGACCAGCACTATGAAAATTAACAGAATATTTAAACGACACTAGATTACACAGCACTGGCATATTACAGTTTCTGCTCTGAAACTGGATGGGCTTCTCATTTGGCACACAGGATTACCCCTCTATGACTTACGCCACAAAGATTAGTTATGAACAGGCTACAGTGCTGCTCAGATGGGGGATTACTACTCAGGCTTGAAGCTGCAGCAGAGAGAAGTGTGCTTTTACAAAGGGTATTTTCTGTTTACAATGAAAAATGTTAAGAAGTAAAGCAACCAAAAACAGTCAGCAAGCATGGGAAAAGCAAACACATTTAAACACTCCGTTTTCCTCCAAACGTGGTTTGATGAAAGCTGAAACAGCAGATCTTATTTACAACAGCCACCTATTAAATTTTACATGTTGAAGCTGAGGAAGATTGCCTAGAGCTCAGGGCAGCGAGCCTGTTGATATCCAGATAGGAATGAAACCCGAGGAAAGCAGCCATTTTGTTGAAATTCTCAGGGCACTTTAAAAGACTCCCTGTCACAACTATCTCACTGACAAAACATTAATAATAAAGCTCTGCCCAGAGAGAAAGTTAGTCCTTCAGCAGTGATTTTGATTTTTTTTTTTTTTTTTAATATTAGGCTAACAAAGCAGTCAAGTCCCAAAAGTGCTCCAAACAGATCCTACCTCACCACTGGTTTTCACTGGAGGTATCTACATTTACTGTCATTATCTCTGTTGCCACATTCGGGCACACCAATGCAAGTGGGAGATACAGGGATGGGAAACCCTGCAAAGGTCTGGACTTCTCCAAAGCAGCATTATTAATTGAAGTAAAACTCCTTAATTTAATAGAATTTAATTGAACTGGAAGCCGGGTCTCTAATATCTGAATTTATTTCTTTTTCCTGTC